TATGTATGTATGTGTGTATATATCTCTCAGTGCATGAGCTTCCTCCGAAAGAAAATCAATTAGCATAATCTATCTCTCCTCTCTCTCTTTCTCTCTTTGTTTCTCTCTCTCTCTCTCTCTCTCTCTCTCTCTCTCTCTCTCTCTCTCTCTCTCTCTCTCTCTCTCTCTCTCTCTCTCTCTCTGTTTCTATCTTTCTCTCTTATTCACACTTTTCTCTGTTCACTATTATTCTTTTGACACAAATCAATCGAGCAATCACAAATTACTATAGCTTTAACGGATAGCTTCATTCACACGCTTAATCGATTAATTAATACATTACATAAATACATAAATACATATATCATTTTTTTAATACTGAATTATATTATAACGATGTTTGTCCATTAAGAATATTAATTAATTAATTAAATATAATATATAAATTTTTGTTTCTCTCTTTCTTTTTCATTTTTTTCTTTTCTTATTCTTTTTTTTTTTTTAGACGTCATTTAAAAAAATTTCCAACAAAATTTGCATTCTCTTCTTTTCTATTTTCATGTTCTGACGCTTTTCTTCTCTCTCTTTTCTTTTCTTTTCTTTTCTCATCCTTTATATTCATTCCAAAATTCATTAATGATAATAATGATAATAATAATAATAATAATAATAATAATAATAATAATAATAATAATAATAATAATAATAATAATAATAATAATCTTAAAATGAAGGAGCTCGAAACATTCCTTCCAATCAATCCAATATTATATTTCTTACTTTCTTATTTCACTTTTTTTTTTTCACTCTTTTCTTTCCTTTTTATACAAATAATCAATCGATCGATCAAGGGAGGATACGTTTTCCTTTCCTTTGGAATTTCTATCGAATCCCATTGAGATTATTCCTGTAATTAGACATTGAGAATGTTAGCGAATTTTTCTACTGTCGTCCCTTTTTTTCTTTTCTTTTTTTCTTTTTCTTCTTCATCTTCTTCTTCTTCTACTTCTTCTTCTTCTTCTTCTTCTTTTTCTATATAATTACAAATAACATAAACGAACGAACTAACTAACTAACGATCCAACTAATTAATTAACTAACAAATTAATGAAAGAAAGAAAGAAAAAAAGAAAGAAAGAAAGAAAAAAATAGCAATAACATCATGGAAAGGACGTACTTCGTGGAGACGGGAAGAAAAAAGAAAAGAAAAGAAAAAAAAGAAAAAAAAGGAAAAAAAAAAAAGAGAAAGGAGAGGAAAATAAAAGAGTTCAAATTCCTCCGAAATACGGAAATATGAGCTAAAAGGAGAAATAAGATATGTCATTGATCACTGATGAAAAAATGGCCCGAATGATTGGGCCCTTGATACGCAGTACGACGGAGTACCATCAACAAAGAAGAACAACAGTTAGGAGCAGAACGAGCCAACAACGGCAGTACAGATTGAGGAGCTATGGGGTCTCGAGCTTGCATGGCGATGGACAAACCCTTCTCCCAATGACCACTAATAACAACAATAATAATAATAACAATAACAACAATAATAACAATAACAACAACAACAACAACAACAACAACAATACTGCTACCAGTTCGAACTTTAGCAATCGACATGTTAACACATCGTCTCAACAGAACAACAGCTCGACCCCATCTTCCGAATCCCAATCGCGCCGTTGTTTTCCTATCCCAACCACGATCTCAACCTCGACCTCGACCTCGACCGCCATCGTCACCAACAACCATCGTTGATCGCACGTCGGCGTCTGCTCGGACGCAGAAAGGTATGAGAACAAAAAAAAAAAAAACAAACAAACAAACAGTTTAGAATTGGATAGAAGCGACGCAAGCTCGCTCGATCGATCGATCGATCGGTCGATCGTTCCATTCGCATTCATCTTCTTAACGAAACTCCCATTAATCCGATAATCCTTTTTATATTTTTTTTTTTTTAAATTTGTAAATCTGAAATATCAACGACGTGACATTATTTATCAATGTTTCATTTCGATAAATGATAAAGAATATATTTTCAAAATAATCTTTATAAGCTCTATTTAGGGAATGTACGTATTTACGTACTCCTCTTTTCTTTTATTTTTCTCTTTTTTCGTCTTTTTTTTTTTCTTTCTTTTTTATTTATTTATTTTCTCTCTCTCTCTCTCTCTCTCTCTCTCTCTATCTCTTTCAAATTTACTTCCTCTAATTTTCATAATAACGTGATATATGAATTTGTATGATACGAGAGTCCGTGATATTTCTTAGCACGAAATACAAATCGACATTTTTTTTTTTTTAGTCCGCGACTGAATGTATATCCTTTGTTTTTTCCTTTTTCCTTTTTCTTTTTTTCTTTTTCTTTTAAAAATATAATAATAATAATCACCTATAAGAAAAGAATATTGATTAATTAATGATATAGTATATAACGAGATATGGATATACATATATATATATATATATGTACACATAGAGTATATTTATATAATATTCATTAACACGATTTAAACGATTTTTGATTATTACATCGATTACATGCGATATCACTTTTTAAGATAGAAACACTCAAAGTTTGTTTACAAGTTGGATTACATCATAGGGATTAGACCATGCGAATCACAATAATCCAACTTATCTTGCAATACTCTTCTAAAGATCTATCGACTGTGTTACAGTAATAGGTCGCACAGTGAATTATACTCTACGTTGTAACGTTCTTTATAATAAGAAAAAGTCATGGACAATTCAATGATATAATAATCTTACTGATGATCATTACGTGTTCATATCCTCTTTTTCTCTGGATCATATGATCCAACGATTAAACTTATTTATCTGGCGTTCATTGATTGAACGTCACTGTGGAAAAATAATGGGGTGATAATTACGAAAAAAGAAAAAAAAAAAAAAGAAAAAACTTTCAGTGTTTCTCCTCAAAGTGATAACAGCTTGTGATACTCATGCAATGGGATTATTTCAAGGAGAAAGTGACAAGTTTGATTTTTTTTTTTTTTTTAACATACATACCACCATATTTTTCTTATATTTAAATTACAATACAAAGACGCGATATATAATATGAATATACAATATATCTTATTAATTTTCACGATGAATGTTATAGAACACATTCAACATTAGTAAGTATCGCTCGGATATCTTCAATGAAAATAATATTAATGTATTAAGCAGCTAGAAAACTAAAAAAAAAAAAAAAAAAAAAAAAAAACGACAAACAAACAAACAAACGAACAAGAAAAAACGCTTTGGCTCCTCTTTATCCCAATAATGCTGTCTTTATTGATATTGTATTTGTTTAATTAAATAAAAGGGGTAGAGAAAGGGATGGGATTAGAGTGAGGTGGGGGATAAAGATGATATAGTTATCCCTCCCTATTCTTCCCTACTCTTCTCACGTCGTTACCCCTATCGCGAATATAATTTCAATCAAGATTTATAATATTGAAAGTGTGAAGAAAAAATCTGGGGTATGTATCAGAATGATCGAGTTACATTGTAAAATTCATGTATTTTTGATGAATTAGATTTTTCTTCAAGTCCGGCATCCACCTACCCCTGTAGCAGTAATTAGAGAGTGCAATATGTTTGTTTATTTTAAAAAATAATATTACCCCTTTTATTCGTATTTCTCTTCTACCTATTCTTTTTCCTTTTCTCTTATTTTCTTTTCTGTTTTTTCTTTTTTCTTTTTTTTTCTTTTTTTTTTTTTTTTTTTTTTTTTCTTTCTTTGAATGTTACATGCATATTTTACTTACACATTTATAGATATGGAATGAAGCATCGTGAGGTTTGATGATATTCGATTTTAATCTGAATGTGTCGATGAACGATGATATAAATACGTGTAATCCCGATAAACGTTGCCCTCCTTTTTTTTTTCTTCTTCTTCTTCTTCTCTTTTATATACTTTCATCAATTATAGAGCCACTTTGTATATATATATATATACAAAGAGAGAGAGAGATAAGAAGAAAATAATGGGCATCTAAATGAAAATTAAATTCATGTAACAGTATCATCGTTCTTCATTATTGTAGATACAATACAAAAATAGAAACTTTCTGCATTCGTAGTAATAGTAGTAGTAAGTATTAACTACTACTAGTTTTTACGACGTTATCGTCGACGTTAAAATAATAATTTCTTCTATTTTTCTTTTTTTCCTCCCTTTTTTTTTTTTAAAAATAATCCCTGACAATAAATATCCTCGCAGAATGTTTCGTCATTGTAGTGTGATCTACCAATCACTTTATCTACAATTATCTCGAAGCTCTCTTGAAGCGGTAAAAAAAAAAAAAGAAAAAAAAAAACAAGAGAAAAAAAAAAAGACAAGACAAGAAAAAAATGATTGCAATGTGATATGGATTGCATGAGTTCAATTCGCTATCTGTATATATAAATTGATTGATAATGGCTAATCAAGATTGACCCTGTTCGCAGATGGAGTAGAAGACATAGGCACGGTATGCCTGGCGGTACATCCCGCGATGTGATAGATTATCGTACGGGATATATAAAGTCTCATCTACGTTCGCCATCGGGAAGGGTTCGGTGACTAATTGTAAGCATTTTCTGATTTACAAAAGCTTTTACCGAGCTCGAAGTTTCGATCATCGAAATTCTCACGAAGGTATTGTGAACGCAATAACTTTATAATTAGAGAAAAAATTTAAAAAAAAAAGAAAAAAAAAAAAGAAAAAAAACAGAAAAAAAGAAAAATTTGATTTAGCGATAAGATTTATAACACACAAATCGTCGTATATATGTATATATGTATATATATATATATATATATATATATATATATATATATATATATATATATATAGATACATACGTGAGAGTTCCAAATAACTTAAATTTAACTTATCCTTTTAAGTTTTTCTTTCCGTTTCGAAAGAAAAAGCACAAGGCTTTTATTAGACGCACTATCCTTTCGTATACACAAATGTTAAATATCGAATTATCTGTCCGCTCTCTTGTTATCATATTCTTTCATTTAAATACATTGATATTATTCGATTAATTCTTCTTAGTATCGAAAAAGAAGAAAAAAAAAAAAAACAAAAAGAGAGAAAGAAAGATAGAAGCAATAAGAATTTGTTCAATTTTTCTCATATATCATTGCAACAATTTTTCAAATCATTGCAATTTTTCAATCATTGCAATTAATTTCCTCGTTACACTTTACACGATTGCTTATCGTTTAATCAAGTACTAGTATCGAAACATGTACGATTACATGAATCTTATGATCTCCTAAAATGCCTTCTTTCTGAAAAGAAAAAAAAAACTGTATAATACATAGTATAAATAACGCCAATAATTTTTTTTTTTTCAGATAACAATATAAAGTTGATTCGTTTATTATGAAAATAACATTGAAGATAGTTTGATTTAAATTATTCATAAAAAAAAAAAGAAAAAAAGAACATTCATATAATAAATTGATATCCATTGATCAAAAATATCTATGATATTCATTGATTAATTGGATAACTAGTACAAAACATATCTTTTATTTCAGTACATATTCTATATAGATACTTCAATGATATTTACTCTTTATATTCTTTATTCCTTTGTAATTATGATTTCTAATACCTAATATATATGATAATAATTTGAAAAATATAATGAAATAATTTTATTATAGTACATTTCTTATTTTAATACTTTTATTAGCATTGTTGCGTCATTATAGATCAAAGGTGGCCAAGTTTTATTAATTAGTATATATATATATATATATATATAAACTAATTAATAAAATATCCACTGATAATAAATATTAATTTTATTCTTTTGAGAAGAAGCATTGATGTAGCATTGATATTAATTACAAGTTCTAGTTCGGTCACCTTTATTAATATTGAGGCAAAAACTGTGCTTTCTATATACCTGCAGTAAAAAAAAAGGACAATCAATTACAAGTGAAGTATCTTTTTTAAATATACTATTTATATTTCACATCACTTTATAAATTATTAGAAAATATCATTGTTTAATATAAAATGATCACTTTTAGACACAATTCATTAATACCATTACATAATTAGGAAAAGAATTGAAAGGGAGTTTCTTAAAATTTATTGTTACTATTAATCATATTTATAGTTAAGTCGAATTAGTCTGTTGTAATGAATTGTAATTAAATATTATAATGAGGATAAATATAGCAATTACAGGGTCGACAATTCTATATTAATTAAAATATAGATCTCATTCCTAGTGTTCTATTAATTATGGATTTTGCAATGGATTAAATACAAACTTATTGACTGAAAAATGATTAGTCAATAGATATGAGATTTATATAGTATTTAACATATTGAATTTGAAACTGAACAAAAATAAAAAGAGAATATTTCTGAAATTATCAATTTGTACTATCTTGAAGTATGAAAATCAAAGTTGAATCATTTAAAGTTTTTATGAAATATATATATAAAAATATAGCGTTTAGATTATATAAGATTCTTTAATATCCGTTAGTACGATTATTAAATTTATAATTGGTACGTTGTGCGCTTAGAAAATTTAATTAAATATTTAAATATCATCAAAAGCAATAGCTCATCTTACATATAAAAAAAAATTTAGATGATATATTGTGGCACTTCGTTAAACAAATATATTTATTATTAAAAAATAATTTCTCTTCTCAGATGTTATTATAAATTATACAAGAAATGCTTTATTCTGGACTATTAAACTTTGCAATAATTAAAAAATTCACTGATACCAAATTACACAGTTACCTGATTAAACATTACTTTATCACACATTATCACATTATATATATATGCAGATATTCAATACACTGCTCTTTAGAGCATGTTTTTTGACTGATTAAGTTATTTCACATTAGATGTCAATTACAGAGAATAATTAGTAATAAGTACTGCATATTTAAGAAACTGTAATAATGTTTATAATAGTTTAATATTACATTATATATATATATATATATATATATATATATATATATATATATATCATTTAGTTTAAACAGATAATAATAATAATAATAATAATAATAATAATAATAATAAATTTAATTTATTAATAAGAAATGAGAGAACAATTTATTAATTTGTGCATTTTGTGTACATGTGTATATAGAAAACAAATCAAAAATTCTTAAAATGCAAAACAAAAAACTTGAGAGATATATAATCATACCTTAAAGATTTTAGTACGCTTATTTAACAATTTTTCGAATCGGATGAATGGGATGATTCATATCAGATAAATCAGGTGGATTTTTTTCGTAATAACTTATTTCCTTCATACCACCCTCTGCAATTTTCCACAATTCCGGATAAGATTGTTTAAAATGACTATACCATTTCTCCACGCAAGGCCATTGGTCCAACTTGAAAGAAATTGCCTCCAGACACATTGTACTCGTGATCAATGGAAAATCCGCAATAGTTAAGTGATCTATTAACAAATAGTGATAGCAATATAATTTAAATAATTATTTTTAGTTCGTACTTATCTTATGTTCCATAATATAAATTATAAGATAGCATGTATAATACTTTATATATATATATAAAGTATATGTGTGTATAAAGTATATATAAAATATATATATATATACATACATAGAAAGTTAGTATTTACTTACTACCAGCAGCATATATTGTATTTTCACGTTGTAAATATGTATTAAAAATATCCAAAGCCATTTTCACTTTCTTCAAGCCCAATGGAGTTCTTTTATAGTCAAAAAATATAGGTGCCATCTATATGATATAAAAGTAAAATTATAATTAAGAGTATTTAATTAACAATAAGTATATAGTAATGTAAATATGTAATTTTATCTTACCACGTATTCCGAAATATTACGATAATAATAAGCAAGATTGAAACAAAGACGATGATTAACAATAGCACGTTCTCTTGGATCCTTTGGATATAATGTTCCGGATACGTCATACTTATCGCCAAGATATTGTAAAATGGCATTGCTGTAAAAAAAAGGAAAAAAAAAAAAAGAAAGATTCGTTTACTTCAAATGAATCTTATCAAGCTTATATAAATCTATATTGTTAATATAATATAAACCTTTCTCCCATTATAAGATCATCGTCAACCAAAACAGGTATTTCTTTTTGAGGATTAAGCTGAAATAATGATAAATTATTGAATGTCTTTATTGTTATTAAATGTATCGTTTAATCATAACATTACCTTCTCATATTCTTCAGTCATATGATCCCCTTTACCAAAATCTACATCAATCAATTCATAATTAATTTTTAAAAACTTCAGCGCCTGACGACATGCGAGAGATGGTGGACCATCGGATACAGAATACAATTTCATTGCTAAAATCAAATATAAATAAATTAATAAATATATATATAAATATATCTGTAGGATATTTTTAGTAACTCTACCTGAAGAATATAGATTAATTAACCCGGGACTATTTACTTTTTTGATTGTTAAGGATTTTATTGACAAAGATATTATAATTAAGATATTACAACTTTTTACTTTTTCTTTGAATTATTTAAAATTTGATCCATTTAGGATCTTTTATTTGTTATTCCTCACTTAGAATAATCTATTAAAGACTATTCCTCCTTTTTCTCACATACACCTTGTAGCCTTTCTCATCCCCACTCCACATTCATACATATGTATTTGATCATTCTTATCGTTCTTTGTAATATTTGTTATTTTCTTGCTTAACTCACTCACGTTTCATTTTCATCTTATTTTCACTTTCAATATCTCAGCTCTCTTATCTTTCTTCTATAAGCAAACATACCTTACAAAGAATAGATCATATTCTGTTTGACTGTTAACAAATTTGTCTTGTACACACACACACACACATATACACATAACATACATACACATACATACATACAATTAATGCTTAGAATCTTTCATACCACAATGTATTAATGGAAAAATAATATTAATTGAAATAATGGAATATATGTTACCATAAATTCTTAATGAAGTCGTAAAACGTTAACAGAAAGTTTTGAAGCCTATACTGAACATCTACAGTCAATGCGTTTCAAGATATATTGGAATACCTTTCACTTGTATCTCTTTAAATATTCAAGGACTTTATATCAGTATAGTATAAGAAATCTTACATAATAAAAACCTATTTCCATAATGAATACGTATAAATGAATAAATAATATTAATCCAAACAATAATTAATACAATTTAAATATCTCTTTAAAGATTGATTTTATAAATATGAGATTTTATTTCCTTTTAGGCAGTTGTTTACATAGACGTTTCAATTAATATTATTTATAAACCTATAGGAGTTATATAAAAAAAAACAAAAAATCAAATATTTCTAATTATGCGAATTTATATTTGATCTTAATTTAATGTTTATCCAGTTACAAGTTATATTCCATATGTAACTCAATAAATGTCTTATCATAAAAAGTGGGAATGAAGAATATGGAATATATCTATTAAGAAGTTAATTATATAATTCAACATTTAATAACAATCAGATATTTAATTTCTTATAACTACTTCTCATTACATTGAAGTAACTTACATAATGGATGTCTGTTAAGAATGACCTAAAAATTATTTTATTTTTGATTTATTAACACGATTATATATACATCGACAATATTTTCATTCCTAATAAAAGATTTTTTGATACTCTATTGACAAGATTTAATAAACGTAACTAACTTGGTTTTAAATTGGTATTTTTTTTTTTCGCCTGATATTATAATCAAATATAAGATTATACTTTAAAACAAGAAACTTAAATTTAGATCAATGTATATATACACTTAAATACATATGTGTTCATTACACATAATATACAAATTATTATGCACATATAAAATAGATACAAATGATTGCACAAATTATATATTTTACTGATAATAAACTTTTTTTTTTTAATTTGATTTCTTTGCATTAAGCGATAAAAAAAAAAAAGAAAAGAAAAAATAAGAAAATTGTTCCAAGAAATCAAACCTTGCATTATTCTACTAGCACACAAAAAAAATGATCTGTTATAATAATTTAAAGATATAACCAGCTATACATTTAATATCATATTTTTAATGTGTCATCAATTATTAATCGCTCACAACAATTAAGAGGATGAATTAAGAAATTGAATTTATAAAGAAAAAAAAAAATATATATATATATAAATAATATCGAAAACACATATTTACCTAGAGAGAGAAAAAAAAACGTTATTTCATTCCTGTTTTCTTGTACGCATTTAATACAACAAAATATCTATATTTATATATTAATTGGCTGGAGAGATGACTATATGCAATTTAAGTATATCTTTATTGGGCCCAACTAAGAATGGAGATACTGTATTTTCTGTCACAGAACCTTGTTGTGGATTAAGCTCTTCGAATGGTAATAAATCATCCAGATTGAGTACTCGTTCTTTTTTACTAAATCTATGTATTATTTCTGTCACTCTTGCAATATGTTCAACTCCATCTTGGAGTCCATATATCAGAACACCTATTTTTACTCTCATATCAGTATCACTATTAACCGGAGGTTCCTTACAAGTTAAAGACAATCTAACAGAACGTTTAACGTGTTCAGGCATTTCTACGGTCCCTTGCCATACAATAAGGAAAAACTTTTTAAACCAAACACCTTTTGGATAAATATCTACGACCCATTCGCATGCCTTATCGCCAGCATATTCTGCAAGACAGGAATGACTTGAGAACACAAGCGTTCTTGTATGATAAGATGGCAATCCATGAAAATTTTCTATTGTAAGTAAAGAACTACACGTGTCCACTGTGTAAAGCCTTGGCTCAAATAATAATGCACCATCTTCCTCGTTCAAACAAACCTCCTTCACTCTCTCAATCTGTCCAGAATGAAAGGACATTCCGATGGACATACGTTCTACAAAAAATTCTTTGTACTTTTTCGTTAATGGTGATAAAAGTAATTCTGCCAGTTGTCTAGGAGACATCATTGGAAATCTAACAGGTGACATAACAGCTACCACTAATTGCTTTAATGTTGCCTCCAATTCATCAGGCAATAATTGAGTTTTTAATCTGTTTGCCTGATGATCCAACCATGATTCCAGGCACTTATAAAGTGTCATCTCATCTTTTATAACTAAACTACTTTGATGTAACAACGACACTAATATGTCCAAATCAAAATTTCCAAAGTCTGATGTTTTGGCCACTAATTCTAAATTCCATTTAATAAAATTTTGACATGATTGAGTAATATCGTGGTGACCACAATTAGAAGTATATTGTAACCATGATACTAATGTACCATGTATAGCAGCCAAAGCAATATGATCTTGCATATAGTCAAGGCACAACGATATTAAATCTTTAACATTATATTTATCTGCTAATGATAAGATTGGGAGAACGACTCCGTGATTAATTCTTATCTGACCGGTATAAAAGTATCGCAAAAATTCACTAAATATTGGAGCACACTGAGGAGTTTCTTGCAATGTTACTCTACTTTCTTGAGATTCGCTCCATTGTGGACTCATTAACATTACCTAAAATTTAATAATTTTATTAATTCCATCAGATTATAATAATATAATATCACTAATAAACAAATTATATATATTTATATTTATATATTATAAATTATACATATATATATATATATATATATATTTACTTGGAAAACATCACTAGAAGCACAAAGGATAAGACGATGTGCTGGGTATTCTACTCCATCGACAACCAAACAGATATCATTCATAAGACGTTCCGCATATAATGTAGCTATCTTTAATAAAACTGTTCTAGAATTGTCCACCTAATATAACAAATAAGAATCAAAAAGAAAGCAAAAAAAAAAAATTATTATAAATAAAAGTAAATAAATTAGAAAATCTATTGACCTCTATAGAGTCAGAACTTTCAGATTCTTCTTTAATCTCACTAATAGTGAGACCCTCATTATCCTTAATTGAATCCATATTTGAAGAACCTGTCATCCACCTAAATGTACTACGTAACATCTGCACATGTCTCCTCACTGTTATTTAGTATTTGTTATTATATTTATATTATTAAATATTTTAATCAATGAAACAAGTCTTTTTTTCCATATAAAGTGTTCGCATCGTTTAACTGCATCTATATATATAAATAGATATGTCGGTTTTGTTATTTTCTTTTTTCCTTTTTTCCTTTTTTTTTTTTTTCTTTTACACATAAAAATCATTAAAAAAGCGTTAAAATTTAATATACTTTCGAAACTTTAATTAATAAATTTTCAAACTTACTGTCTTTCAATTTAAACGCATCATGTCAATCTCTACTTTCTTTGATGTTCAATCAGGGTTTTTTCTTTTTTTTCTTGTCCTTATATTCGCCCTTTTAAAATATTATTTTCCGTTATATTTATTTTATCTTCTTGACAAAATATAACGTCGAACAACTTCACGATCAAAGACAATACAAGAGACACCAAAATTATAATGAATTTGTTCAGATTTATTACGTCTTTATGTTGATAATTCGTCTGATAGGTGAGACCGATTAAAATACGTTCGATGCTAACAACTGCGCCATCTAGAATTAAATCCAATCATCTGATAGGTCCATCGGATTGGTCAAATTCAATCTTTTTTTATCTTTTGTAACGAACGTAAATTTTTAAATTATTTAATAATTAACTTCGTAGTTGAAGGTGTTTGTTATAGAAATAAAAAAAGAAAAAAAGAAAAATACATTGTTTAAAAATATTACATTTCAAGTATACAATATTATAAAGTCAATACAATTTTCAGTATCGTTAACAAATTAATAGTTCTCTTTTTTTTTTTTTTTTTTTCTTAAAACGTATTCAGTTTGAATTTGAAATTTGTTTGTTGTACTTGTTGTTTTAGTGATGAAACAGTGATAAAATGGCTTTGTGGAATAATGTTTTATCGGGTTTCGATACGGAAGATGAAACTATTAATTTTGGAACGAGAATTGTCATAGAAAGTAAAACATCTATTTACGAAACTGTCACACTTGCAACCGTACAAGCGGATGGAGAAGTATGATGTGATATTGTTAAATTTTATTTATTAAATATTTTTTAAGAAATAATTATTATAAATTTTGTTTTACTTTCATAAGGTCAAAAATAAACCAAACATTCAAGGTTCTCTTCAATGTACTAAACTGTGTATAGCAATTGATAAATCCATTACAATATTTGAAGATGAAACATGCATAAATATATTATTAAGTATAGGTTTCGATTCTTTAATAACATGTTATTGTATATCAAGGAACGAAGAATATTTATACGTTGTATTGAAAAATGGAATGTTATATTGTTTACATTTATCAGATAATGGTGGGGTTATTTTTTCTATGTGAGTAAGCTATATATATATATATATAACAATATGAAAAGAAAATATTATAGATATAAGTTATACTTTAATTAATATTTTAAAAATAATCAATATAAATTGAATTTATTCGTTTTTCTTTTAGAAATATATTTGATCTTACAAATGATTATTTTAATATTATGAAAATATTTATAGAGAAAGAAAATAATGATTTAACTCAAGTTATTCTTATCAATGGAAAAGGTGCTATTTATAGGTATAAGTTACTTTAAAATAATTCTTTGATTGTATAATTTGAAACATTTACAAAATTTAATTTCATCTTAATCATAGTATTATATTAATTAATATATAAATATTTCAGAATTACTTTATTTTCTGTTGAAAAATTCATTTCTACTGATATTGAAAATGATGATTTATTACAGAAAGAATTTAAAGAAAATATACAATGTATAATGGTATTTGAAGGATTTGAAAAAAATGAAGTAATGTAAAAGATATTTAATCGATATAATTAAATATTTCAAATATTATGTTATTATTTTGTAAATAATTTTAATTTTTAGGAATTGTTTACCGTAGCTGTAATACCAGATAATTCGAGTATAATTCTCATTGGGAAAAATACTTGTTTTGTTTGGCCAAGTAAAAATTCCTGTAATCTAAGTGCTTTGCCGTATGGTTATAAAAAAGTTCAAATTTTAAAAAATCTCAAGTAAGTCTTATATAAATTTTTTAAAATTTCAAATTTCAATTAATTATATTATTTTATAATATTTCTTTATATATATATATATGTATATATATTTCAGTGCAATGTTATGTTTACATACAGATAAATCTATGAGTATAGTATGTACTAGAACATTAATTGGTAAAATGGTTTACAAGGAACCAATTATAGATTTTATGATAATTAATGATGAAAGCAATAATCATTCTGAAATTTTATTTCTATTAGAAAATGGAAATAATGATATGTTTACTTTACGTTTGGTTTCTTTTCCAGGTAAATGTTTTCTTTGTCTTTTTTTTTTTTTTATGGTTAAAAGCAACATTCTGGATGTTAATTGATTTAAACTTCTATTATATAATTTCAGAATTTGAGCAAAAATTTCAAATAAATGTACCTACAACTACGAATTTGGTAGATACTTTAAATTCGTCCATTGGATCGATATTATTCATAGAAGGGATTATCAAGAGCACAAATATAAATACAATTAGAATAAAAAGTATAATAGAAAGTGCTCCAAATTTTCGCTTAGAAAGATTATTAAAAAGAAGACAATTTAAAGAAGCAGAAATGTTTGCAAAAAAATTCAATCTATCTTTAGAAAGTATTCACATATCAAAGGCAATATTATTCACCGAACAGCTTAGTCCTTGGGCTAAAGAAACATCAGGTTTAATTAATTTAGATATTTTAATAAACACATTAAATGAAATAAGTGATATGAAATTTGTGATTAATTGTTGTACAAATGTTATTATGTTTGATTATAAGCAAATGAAAAAATTACTTTTATATGCAAGACAAAGAATTATTGATAATAGTAAGGTAATCATTTATAATTAAAAGAAATATAGTTTTGCATTTTTTATACTTTATTAGAATATTAAAATATTTCTGCTTGTAGGATAATATGAATGTGATACAAAGTGAACAATTAAATCTTCTTAGATCTATAAATACTGCCATTCATAAATTAGAAACTTTTGAAATACTTTATGAAACTTTAGTGGCTAATGAATATACAGCCGATCAAACTTTAAATGAATGGATACGATTTTCACGAGCTGATTTATTAGAAGAATGTAAAATTCGTTTGGATATGGTAAGCTAATAAATTATTTTCATAATTTATATTATTTAAATAATGCGTATAAAAGAAACAAAACAAAAAAAAAGGAATACAAATATATTTATACATAGGGAGAACTCGAAGCAGCTGCTTTGATCTGGTCTAGACATTTACCGGACATAGAAAAAAATTTATCAATTGAAACTGTACAAGATATTTTAAAAACTATATCGGATAAAATTTCTCTAAAAGTTCTATGGCCATGGCTATCAAATTTTGTACCATCCATATTATCTTTATTACCTGAGGTAATAAATGATATTATTACTTGGGGTTGTAAAAAAATAAAATCTTTGGAAAATTTTCAATCCGAATTATGGCCACAAATAGGGATTGACTTTGCTACGAAATTTTTAACTTTGTTAAAATTTGATAAAAATTCACCGTTATATTTTTATAAAGAAAATATCAATGAAAGTTCAACGTTTAAATTATTTATGAATATAATTCAAGCCTTACACGATTTAAAACAATTGAAAATTGATCATAGGTAAGTTATCGTTAATAAAATTAAAAAAAAAAAATATATATATATATATATAAATATACATTATTAAAATATTGTTTGCACACAGGATAAAGATATCTATTAATTCTTACATCGGTGAACCAATAGATGTAATATATTTATTATTGAATAAAATACCTATTGAAGGTATTCACGAATTGGTAGAAAAATTTTTGAAACAATATATACTTAATCATTCTTTAGAAAACGATCTCGTCTTTTCATCGTACATTCAAGTATATATTATTATATTATATTATTTATAACTATAAAAATAGTATTGAAAAATCATTTAATATCATATAATATTTAAATATTATATAGAAACTTATATATAATTCGAAAGATTGGTGGTCATGGGAAGAAGCTCCATGGGAGAGAAGAATCGCTATTATTATCATGTTTATACATAATATACAGGTAAACTAATTGTAATAAAAAAAAATATATATATATATATATACATATATTATATTGGAAAATTATATGTTATAGAATCGACTTAAGCTAACTCTAGAAATATTAAAGAAAGCATCTATTCCATGGAGTTCAACTATATCTCAGTTAGCAGAAATGAGTATAAAATTTGAACATCCTTTATCTACAAAAATTAAAATTGAACGTGATTATATACCAATAAAATTTATACTGAAGAAATATGGCTACGCAAACACTGGCATAAATGATGTTAGTAAGGAATATTATTTTGTAATAAAAAGTTATAAAATTTTACAATTATATTTATGTTTTATTTATTTTTTTTTTTTTTTAGAAATTAATATCTTTTATCATTAAACAAAATCGTAAAGAAATGTTAAATGATCTATACGAATTAACTAAGAATAATTTATTATTAAGAAAAAAAGCATTTTCTTCTTGCATTAATTATTATTTGACGCGAGGGTAAGTTTTTGTAAAAAAAATTACTGTTAAAATTTATTAACTCATTAATTTTTTTATATTTTTAATATTAATCCATTTAATCATTTTACAGAAATTTTGAGATAACATTTCAAGTTTTAAACAATTTGGAAGATGACATTGCACTTTATTGCTATGAACGAATTGTTAATTATATTGTTTCTAGTTTTACCTTAAAGGTATTTATATTTAAGAGTTAAAATTATTTTTTAAGAAATATGTTTTTTTTTCTACCACACACATACACACGCGCGCGCGCACAATGACATTTTTTTATAAAAATTATTTTTGATTTAGGACATTCCTGAATCTATTGAATATTATTTCGAATGCTTAAGTTGGATTAACACAAAATTACAAGATATGTTAACAAAATCTAAAATTCAACAATATTATTACAATGGCATTGTAAATCGAATTAATGCTGTTAAAAATTTATATCAAATTAAGAAAGAATTCAATGTTATTATTCCACTTGATAAATTATATATTGGAAAGAATGAAATATTACAGATTTGTATTACAAATTTGAGCCGTGGTAAGAGATTATTTTATAAAATAATATAATTATTTAGAAAACAGATATAATAATATATATATACATATATATGTCGTTATTATTTATATTTAGAGTTAAAGGCACAATCTTTATCTACTTTAACTGCATATAAAAAAGCTGTTAAACTTGCAAATATTCTAAAATTACCAAGATTAAAGATTATCTCTATATTATTAGAAGATACAAAAAATCTTGACATATTAAAACATTTAACAGGGTAAGTTTACATAATATTTAGTGTACAATTAACACATACACGTACATATATATATATATTTCTTTTTTATTTTTTAGATTTGAAAAATCTGATATTGACATAATGGCAAATGAGTGTAAATACGTGAAAGATATATGTATATTAACTTTACACGATGTAAAATTAAATGCGGAAACTGCAAATATTATCAAAAATTTGTGCGCGTCTGCATTAAACTATTGTGATAGAGGTAAATGATAAAATAACTTTTTTTTTTTAGCCTTCAATTTCATTTTTTTTTTGTTTTGTTTTAGGTGAAATAGAATGTATACTTAAGTGTTATAATTCAGCAGAATTATATTCTAAATCTTTAGATAAACATTACACAAGTCCTATAGACGTAAGTTCTAAAGAAATCCATAAATCACAATGGAAATTATATACAATATATAAAGATTTTGCCATATCGTTAGATCCATCATTGTTGACCGTAATAGAAGATGTATTATCTCTTGTTATTGCATATGCAGATTTCAAAAGTATGTGTGAGTAATAATTTTAAATGTCAAATTTGTTTTATATTATATATATAATATATTTATATTTTTATATTCCTTCATATAGCGTTCCAAGAAAAAACAATTAAAAAAGATTGCATACAAGAGCAGGTATTTTCATTTATAATTATTTATACATTAGGTATATACTATTTCACAATAAATATACATTTTATAAACGTTATATTTTTATACAGAAAACAATAGAAGAATTGTTGAATAATCTACTTAAGAAAATAAATGAAATTAGCCTTGTACATAATGAGTATGCAGTATTTAAAATTGTTAAAACATTATACTTCAATTTTTGTTTTTCATTAACGACGGAACAAAATATATTAAATGAAATACAATCATTGTTATCACACATTATAAAATGCTTATTGAAAAGAGTGATAAATGCTCCAAAATTTGATTTACAACTTGGTTTGTCCTGTCTTTTTATGTTATCCGATCAAGAAGCATCTAAATGGCTTTCTACAACATCTAAATCGTAAGTATAATAATCATATAAAAAATATTTCTAAATAATATAATACGTTAACTTTATGATTACAGATTACAAACAGATTACTCAAGACATGCTACGATTTCAATATTAGGTTACGAATATTTTTACTTACAAAGAAATCAATCACTCCTGGAATCATTTAAATGGTATAAAATGTTACATTATTGGGCACAGAGATTGTCCGCTTATTCAATAACGTACAAAGGTTTGTATATTCTTATTATTAATATTAAATAAAATATATATAAGGAATTATTCTATTTATATGGAAATATCTTTATTTATTTACAGAGATTTTTATCAGTGATAATACAGAGAAAAGACAAATATTAACACGTTTAATGAATTACAATAATAACAAGATTATTCCATTGCTACAAGATTTCTGTGAATGTTTTGGATTTGATATAGACGATTGCTTGATACTTTATTTACAAGTATTATTAAATACTTGGAATCCTACATTTACAATTTCTTTTTGTAATGGGAAAAAGGGTAAGTAATAAAATATGTTTGTGTATATTTATATTTATATTATTTATTTTTAAATTAAATATTTTATTCTAAATGTTATATTCATTTTTTTTCTTTTTTTTTTTTTTTTTGTATATTCATCAGAACTGCAAATTGCCCAAGACGAGATAAACAAATTAAGAACAAAATGTACTGTTGTAACCAAAAAAATTGTAGACAAGGGTACATTAAAGCAATGTGCTCGAAATATGTTGTCAGAAGTAAGTATCTACTATTAAAATTTATAAACATATATATTTATATATATCCAATGTGTCTTATATTTATTTTTTTGTAATGCAGATTAATTTCTATCATTACGAAGCATTTATTATTTTAATGGATCTGATAGGAATAGGAACAAGTGAAACAAGAAATTATTTTTGTTTTTTGCAAAATTACACGCGATATGGGTAAATAATTTAAATAAAAAAATTAGAGAATGATAAATATTGTTGAATTCTGGACACATTGAAAAATTATATGTAATTTTATTTTTCTAGACAACCTACATTAATAGAACAAGAAGAATGGATGCGTCTCAATCCAGAATATAAATCATTACCAGCTATTGCAGAATATAGAATTCCTTTTTTACCAAAAATTGACATTTGGAAACTCATAAGTATGCGTGCTATATTACATACAATAATAAATTTATAAATTATATAAATTATTATAATTCTATTACTTTTTCAATAATGTTTTTCCTTTTTTGTTATAGCATCTGAATTAAATTTGAAAACTTATGAAAAATGGTTAACCATTGCATCTATTATCAAATTAGAACCACATATAATATGTTCTGTGGCTATAAAGGAGGAAGTTATACAAGAATGGGGACCATTGAATAGCAAAAGAACTACAGAATGGTCACTTCATCCTAAGAACAATATCTTCCTTGAAAATGTATTGAAGTGTATAGAACGAATGGGACCAAATGCATTATATTATGCAACTGCTGCACTATACTATGTTGTAAATTATACACCACCTGGTATATCTTAACTTAAGATTTATAATTATTTATAACTTAACTTTATAGTTATAATTATTTATAACGTTTATATATATAAACGTTATTTTTAAATTAACATTTGTATCTTGAATTAACATTTAAATTCCTTAAAATTACATTTAATAGGTGCAGATCGAGTTGCCGCAATACAACAATGTTTTACATATGCGGAAACAGCAGTTCAACAATCTACAAACTTTGAAGAAGATTTGTTAGAAGTTAGTAATCTTTTTTTTTTTCTTTTTGTCTTCGATAAATCATAAATATAATTGTAAAAATATTATCAATGTTATATTCCTTTTTATTGCAGAAAATACGATTTAAATATTTAAGATTTACAGCTGAACATATTTTGCGAACACATGGTTTAGGAAAAGATACTTATATCTCATTGATTTCATATCCATCTGAATTAATTAAAACATTATATATGGATGATAGTATACCATTAAGATATAGAAGTGCCATTGATCTTAGACCTGATATTAATTCGGCTGTTGATGCTTTAGGTCGTCTCTTTAATTTGAATTTAGTTAAATTGCGTTTTCAATTGCTTCAAGAATGGTTACATACAGATTCTGAACAGATTAAATTCGATCAAAGTTTTACAGATGTACTTTCTAATTTGACACGTTCAGATATTAGTACAGTTTCTGATAATAATCTATGCAGGTAATATATTAGATTAATATTATTTATCTCAATAATAAATTATATTGAATTATATGATAAATCTTTTTTCTTTTTTTTTTTTGCAGAGCTTGTTATATGCTTCAGCATGGAGATGTAAATTTATCAGTACATCTTCTAATAGACATAGGTTTTGGTGAAAGTAATGAAAACGATTATAGCTATGAAATGCGATATAGAGCATTAGACGTTCTGCAATCTATTATAGATCCGACAACTTTACAGCAGTTAATTAAACGGGAAATAATTACTGTTAGGTATAAATTAATTGTACACATATAATTTTAATGTTTATATTTTTTTAACATATTATAATCTAACAATTTCATATATTTACAGGCAATATACAAAAACTTTAAAATATTTAAGTAAATTGGAAGCTTTAGGATTGGGATATAATATAATTACATTTGAAACGAGTTCTAAAAATGAACTTGTACAAATGTTATTGAATACTCAATATTATTCACGACAAGCTTTAATTTTAATTATTGAAATTTGTACGGATTACGATATAAATGATTATAACATTTGGGACAAATGCCTGACACAAATGGCTACATTACTTATGGTAAGGAATATCACATAAAATAATTATATTATTTGATTTTATAATAATATATTTTTTTTTATCAAAAATGTCGTCTCTGTTAAGATAAATGAATTAATGGAAATTTTACCACGGATACGTAATATGAGCATTGTTACAACATGCAAAGGATATAAATTAGCTTGGCAAATTGTTATAGCAGAACCATTTAGTAAAATGGATATAACACCATCATTGGAACAAATAGATACTTGTATAATGGCCTTCTGTCTTTTATATTCGTGTCCTATTACATACGAATTAAAATTCAATGATATTTTAAATTATTGTTTTCAATGTCAACAGCCACATTTAGCGATTGCATTCTTACCATATTTAGATATTGTTGATAAAAAGTATGTTTTCGATCGTATCCAATCCTTTTCAAATATTCAAGATATTATTGATGATTTGAAAGATTTATCATCAAAAGGGATACTTGGAATTCCATATGTAAGTATACACGTATCATTATTATTATTGATATAATTTAAATAACAATTAATCAAACAAATATATATATATATATATTCACTTTTTTGAATAATTAAATGTATTTACTTGAATTTTTATTTTTCAGTGTATTACAATATTAAAACAAAATGTAGAGAAAACAGAATTTAAATAATAATACAATCATTTATATTTTATATTATTTATATACAATATTTTATAACATTTATTTTTTTTTTTTTGTTTAATAAAAATCTAAATATGACATCAACAAGTGTTACATGTATTTACTTACTAAATTTTCAATTGATTAAGGCCAATTTAATTTTTCTACGATTCTGTATAGTCATCGATTAATAAATTTTTATCTTTAGATATTTTAATCCTAAGAGCACCCGATATTGGAGTAATTGATAAAATTTTAATTCGTGAAATTATAAGCTGATTTACATTTTTGTTAGGTCGATCACGGATAACATCAATTTCATCGTTAAGTTTAATCTACAATAAAAGTATACAAAAGTATATATAATTTTTATAATAATTAAAAAAAATATATATATATACACGTATGAATAATTAAAAATAATTTATACGTTCGATCTTAATCCGAATTATAAACTTTACCTCTGTAGACATTTTCAGCACTTTTTTCTCATTAATACGAATTTTACTCTCATAAAATGCAGTCTCTATATTTCTATAATCAAACGTCAAAGACATAATAACAAAATTATTAATAACTTCAATTAATTACTGTAGCAAATATATTGCTAGAGTAATTCAAGATAACCTGTATCTATGATTTTTTTTTTTTTAATTGCATATTATTATTATTATTACCAAAAAAATTAATTCTCTTACTTGCGTGATGTACCAATTGCATTTTTAATTATAGAATCTACACGTAAAGAATTAACTTTAATATTTGTTATTATACTTTTATTCTGTGATTCGTCTAGTTCAATATCTGTTTCATCTTCCTCATCCGACTCAAAATCATCCTCTTGTACTTTCTTCCATATACAATAATAAATAACTTTTTTGGAGTCATTGTTAATTAAAGTAACGTATAATTATATAAGTAACGATCTTTGTAATTACCTTTACCGAATCTTTCCTTTTGTGTTTAAATCTTTTTATTATAGATAAATTAAGACCATCCTGTATAATATTATTCATCCAAATATCACGATTGACATGACAATAAAGTCTTATTTGATAATGACCAGAATAAAGCAAACGAGTGGTTTGAAAGATCAATCGTCTTGCAATAATATTATAAATCTTATTCATTGTTGAATATTTATTTATTAAAAAAAAAACAACACTGAATTATCTTAGGTCTAAATATTAGATATATATTTCTATGACTAAATATATTGTCTCACTATCTTTTTCTCTCTCTCTCTCTCTGTCAATATTTGAACACTTGCACAATATTCTTTTATATATTTAAACATATACATATTCTAAAAATAATATCTATTAAAATATAACGATATAATAATCAAACAAATATAAAATAAAGGTTATGTATTTTTCTTTTAAGAACGATCCTTTTAATTATTCATTCTTCACTGTGATTGGTCGATTGTCTACAACCTGAACGTATCATTTCTATGCATATTTCTTATTTAGATATTTTACGTTTTACATGATTATATAAATTATAAAAGAAAAATCGTTAATTTTTATTATCTAACATTTACATAATTGATACTTGACACTTCTATTTAAAAAAAAAAAATATATCTCTGAAAACGAATTGAACGACATATTAATTCTACGAATCAGAACTGAGGTGGGATTTTTGAATTTGATTTGGCATTGCAGTATTTTCTTTAAATTCAATAATTTGAATTCATTTATTGTTAATGTTAATATAAATGTATTATTAACTATCTATTTTTTTTTTTTAATTGATTAATGATGAAATTAGAAAGAAGAAGTTTATTAATAAATAAAAAGTTGTTAAGAAGGAGAGAAAAAATAATGCGGGAAATCATACGAATTCAGAGAAGAAAAATATTCATTGTAACAAATCGAGTATCGTGCATTCTCGAAGGTAATGCAATTCTATATAATATGGTAATTGTGATGAGTAGTATCATTGTTGCATCATTAACTCATGTTTATTCTAATACGTAACAAAGATAAAACTCATCGAAGATGTTTAACCAAAAAACATTAGAAATACACACAACAGTCTCATCTCATTTTTTATAAACTCATAGAGATCTTTGTATATTCTCTCTCTTTCTTTCTCTCTCGTTTCTCGATTTTTAATTTTTATTATTCATTTCAAATGAATTATTTTCTAATTATAAATTCGAACTGACGTTTATAGATTTTCAATGTTTATAAAAATTGCAAGAAAAAGTAATTGAAAATTTATTTCGTCTATTGTCAAGTAAATAATATATTAATAAAATTTTAATACGAATATGACAATCTTATTATTAATTTATTATTAAATAAATGTAATTTAATTAAATGTGGATTATTATAATATTTGATAATGATAACAGATAATAAAAATCGATAAAATCATATTTCATTGTCAAATATATAAAATGTTTTTAGAAAATTTGAGGTTATAAATATGACAAGCTTATTAATTCATATATTATATATATATATAAATAGATAAGAAGAAAGATGAAATTATAAATGAATTATCTTAGAATTTTTCTTTAATAATTATTCTATGTATATATTATGGTATACATTAATGTATAGTATAATATTTAAATATTGAATATAAAAAATATTTCAATGTTTAAATATTCAATAAAAAAAATATTGAATTGTTTTAATCAACGATTATCGTCTAACATTATATTTCTGATACTCCAATGGAACAATGAGAATATATTTATCGTTTCGTGTTAAATAAAGTAAACACGACGATAGAATGTGCAAAGAATTCAAATGTAATGTATACGTATGAAGGATATCAGTTGACAATCAATTCTTTCAGAGTTCCGATATTCAACATTCTATATAATCGGAAAATAATTTTTCTTTATATTAAAATCACCGTATTACGATATTATCACGATATTTCTGAAAGAAAAAAAATAATATAATGGTCGACTTGTACTCGACAAGGTCTGCCATTTTGTTTTCTTTGTTCTTTTTTTTCCTTTTTCTTTTCCTTTTGAAAAGAAAGAATGACGTCTGAAAAGAAAAAAATAGATAGAGGAAAAGTTTATATAAATATTTACATATAGTTTTATATATATATATATATTATATAAATATTCAAAGAGCCCATATCAGTTTCTCAAAAATGTTTCTTTCTAACAATGAAACATTTGTAAATTTTTTCGATCGATTTATTATGATTGATATATTAAACGAAAAAATAAATAAATAAATAAATAAAAAAAATATAAAAAATAAGGAAAAAAGAAATAATGAAATAAAAAGATTTGTAGGTACAATGAAACGCGCAAGTGACTCAACTTTAAATAACATTGCAAAAATTACAAAACTGATGAAAAAATAATTAAGAAAACGAAGATTATATATTATTATAGTAGCAAGATAATCGTAATTGTACTGTAAATCCTCTATTGTCTCGTCTCTAAGAACACCTTGCTGATTATATTGATTATTTAATTATTTGTCACAATTTGATATGCGTTCTTTCTAAATATATATATATATATATATATATATATATATATATATATATTTAGAAAGAACGCATATATATATATATATATATATATATATAAAAGAAAAAAATAGAAGGAAAAAGAAACAGGGAAAAAAAGGAATCCAAAAAATTATAATATATCGTCACGAGGATAAGTTTATTAATTTGTATTACTTGATATTATTTATAAATCTTTTCTTATATACATTTCGAAAAATATTTTTTATTTATTTATTATAATATTTATTTATTTATTTATTATATATATATATATATATATATATATATATATATATATATATATATATAGAACTTATAAAGATCTAGATATAATGTTATAATAGTATTAAAAAATGATATTTGTGTAAAATATCTAAAAAAAGGAAAGGAAATCTCTTTTTATGAAATTTAAGAAAATAATGTACTTGTATTTCTACATCAATTAAACAATGAATTATTATTTTATTGATGATCTAAATCTCAAAATCATTTAGCATTTTTAATTTATAATAGTTTCAATTATAAAATAACAAATTATTAATGACAAATCTCAAATCTTTTTCAATTTTTCATAAATGATCAAGAAGTCTTATTTGATTTATTTGTTTTAGAACGAATCGATCGAACAATATATATATATATATATATATATATATATATATATATATATATATATATATTTATAAGATCCAAAGTGATTTATTTTACGTCACCCTGTTATGACTCACATCACGGATGTCTATGGTATTTCCCATCCCATGATTAACAATGAGATTGTACAAGAGCACACGGAAACATTAAAACAATCGAATTAATTTACAAACTCTTATTGAACTAATTTACATATATTTTATTATATATGAATTTTTTTCGAACGTTTATTATTCCAAAATCATTTTTACAGTAATTGCAGAGTCATCGTCTTTCTAGAAAAAAGAAAAAAAAAAAAAGGAAGAAGAAGAAGAAAAAGAAAGAAAAAGAACAAAAGAAAAGAAAAAATAAAAGTCAAATTTAAAATCAACGTTAATTGGATCATACAATATTTTATATATACTATAATTATATATTATATATTATATATAAATTAATTAGATATAATATAATATAATATTATATTATATCACGAAGAAAAATAATTATATAGAATAAAATATTATATAGATAACTTCTTTTTTTTTCTTTCTTTTTTTTTTTTTTTGATGAAGAAGCCAATGGCTATTGAATGTTAAAAAGAAAAAAAAAAAAAAAGAAAAAAAAGAAAACTTAATATATTTCCACGAATTATTTAATTATTAAATTGACCCATAGAGATAATTAATCAAATAATTAAGATAACTATGCGGTAATATTAAATATTTCTTATACAACGATTCTCTCCCACCACCGCTCCCTCCCTCCCTCCCTTCAACATCTCTGTAAAAGAGGAATCATTTGTTAATTATTTTTAGGACATGAAAAGGAAGGATATGAAAAATTGTCAGCGTCATAAAAATGAGAAAGAGGAGACGAAGAATTGGAGGGGTCATCCCCGATGAAAATAGTAATAGATTTTTGAGGACTCATCGGATTCTTCTTTTTTCCCTCTAGGTATATTCCCTGACGTATGTATGTACGTAAATAAATACGTAAGTACATGAACGTATGAGTCAGGCAAAAGATGTTGTAATCGACATAAGAAAAGAATTATTACTTTCCTCTATTTTTTCTTTGGAGAAATTTTCATTTTTCTTTTCTCTCTCTCTCTATTTCTCTCTCTCTCTCTCTCTCTCTCTCTCTCTCTCTCTCTCTCTCTCTCTCTCTCTCTCTTTCATTGAAAATAATTAGAACAATAATGGCAATAGTAATTTTTTTAAATGCAAATGATATAAAAAAATAAAAAGAGAACACATTTTGACATCATCGTCATTGTATTAAAATATTAATAAAAATGATAGAATTCAATTGAAATATTAAGAATAATATTCAAATAATATAATCAAAGTTATAATAAATTTTACAAATTTTTCTTAATCGTTTTATCTTGATAAATAGACACAAAGTGGAAGTAGATAGAAAAAGATGGATAGAAATAAAGGTAGGGAGAGATAGAGATAGAGATACATAGATAGAGAAAGAGAGAAAAAGAGAGAGAAAAAAAGAGAGAGAGAGAGAGAGAGAGAGAAAGAGAGAAAAGAAAACATTAGTAAGACTTAAGTAGACTTACTTGATCTCATCTTTTCTATCTTACGCATACGAAGAAGAAGTAACTACTTATATACTTAAATCATTATTCGTTTGACACTCGTCAATCTGATCGACGACAAATCGTATAGTGACTCGTTCGAAGATATTTATTACCAGTGCTACCAGGTTTCCTTTTTCTTTTCTTTTTTTTTTTCTTTTTTTTTTTTTTTTTTTTTAGCAGTGTACTTACATATCCATTTATAAACGCAATAAATAAATTTCAAGTACAAAGGAAACGTCAATGCATCTCTACGATGTAACAGTGTTATATACTCTTTGACTTTATCAACGTTTTGGTGAAAATTCAAATTTATTTTAATCTTTGCTTCTCTCTCTCCCTCTCTCCCTCTCTCTCTCTCTCTCTCTCTCTCTCTCTCTCTCTCTCTCTCTCTCTCTCTCTCTCTCTCTCTCTCTCTCTCTCTCTCTCTCTCTCTCTCTCTCCTGTTCATTTTTATCCCTTCTCTCTATCTCTCCCTCTCTCCCTCGGATAAGAGAAAAATAAATATATCCAAACGACATTGAACTTGTTTTCAGTTGATGTTTCTTAACGGAGAGAGAGAGAGAGAGAGAGAGAGAGAGAGAGAGAGTGTGTGTGTGTGTGTATCGTAGACAATGTCTAAAAGGATTTTGTTCGATCTAAATAATCAACATCAATGATCTAAATTACGAGATAGATATCAATTGAAAAAATTATCGTACAATAAATTATTCTTTTAATCTGTGATATTAGAGAAGAAAGGATCAAAGGAGAGTTACTTTGGTGCGAGTTTTTATTTATTGACGATTACTAAAAATTGAACATGTGACAAAAAAGGATAATAATAATGATGACCACGATGATGATGATGATGATGATGATGATGATGATGATGATGATGATGATTATAATTGTTCTGAAATTATAATATGATTCTTAGTTCTATCGAAAGTTCACTGTCCTTTTAACAAAAATTATCGTATTAAGGTAAAAACTGATGAATAATGATCTTCTTCTATCAATGTCTTTAACGATCACTGCTTGCTCGTGTTTATATTTTTGAGTTTTATATTATTGATTTTTTTCTGTGTCTTTTTGTATATATCGGTATATGTAAGCAAAAGTAAAGAAAAGAAAAGAAAAAAAAAAGAAAGAAATGTGGCGTTTTATCGTTTAATAACAAGTGTTACTACTTAGGGATTAAACATATTCTTAAAATTAAACTGATCAACATCGTGGGAGGGAACAAGATATTTTATTAACAAATTAAACTGTTAGAATAATATTATTCGTAAAAAATCTATTAAAATTCATATCACTGATAATTATCTAATAATCGATCTAATTGTTTGTTTATTATGTATCTAATGTGTCTTTCTTTAATTTCTTTCAATATTATTATTCCGAAACAATTTGTTTTTTTGTCAGAAAATCTTTAGGCCATCAGGAGCAGTTTTTTCTTCACTCAGTTTATCACTGACTAAGGATAGTTTTATGAAACAAATTGTTATATAAAGGTTTTCTTTCATACTTAAAAAAAAAAAAAAATATATATATATATTTAAACTTGTCCATCGATTTAGTGCATTTCGCTTATGGGAAATTTATGAGAAAAATTACGAGAAAATTTATTATAAATTTATCATCATAATCTCAAATCATTGTAAAGTCTCAGTTTTATATTGTGAATCATGTCATTTGAAATAATCCCTCTTAGAAATTCATATGACATTTATTAAAAATAAATCTTATTAAAATGTTTTTAAATAAATCATTTTATTATCGTGTATTCGTTATGTTTTATTGTACGATCGTTCAATTAAAATAATTTTTATCTTTTGACCACAGATTAACAAAATGATCAACGAGATTGCAAAGCTTATATTTCTTCTCCATCATCTATTGTTTTTGTTAAATGGAGTAATGGCCGTCAAATCACCATGCCCGGAATATTTTCGTTATATACGTAACAATAATTTCGAGGATATGGGACAAGTGGAAATACCATGGCCACCGAGAAATATGGCGTTGCATTTGAAAATAGAATTAACCGTGGCAACGTCTTTACCATCGGTAAAGTATTTTTTTTTCTTTTTTTTTTTTTTTTTTTTAATAAGAAACAATAAATCGACGTCATTGAAAATATGTATCGTCTATTATCTTTTCTTCTTTGTTTTTTTTTCTTTTTCTTTTTTTATAAAATAGTTTTTTTATAAACTGAAATGTTTTATATATTATTATTATTATTATTATTATTATTATTATTATTATTATTATTATTATTATTATTATTTATTATATAAAATTTTAATTTAATGTACAATGTATTTCTAGAAAATGAACTTCCTTGAAAATGTAATATCATAGACCGATCAATTATTTAACAAAATCCAATTGATAAGATCTTCATTATTTTAGAAATATGTCGGACGATTGGAATTGGCACAATCAAAAGAAGAATCAGTTAGAGCCGTTCAAGAGGGAAGATCATTATTTTATTTAGTTCATTTTCCAATAAGTCAGCCATTACCGATTCTAACAAATATATGGTTCAATGAACAACTATACTGCAGTGGTCCGCGTGGTAAGTTTTTATATCACTGATCATCATCAATCATCAGTGATCTGTTTGATAATTAAATCTTTGCACTCCAATCAATATTGTAATATAATTGAACAACAGTAAATTTCAAAAATTTCTTTATACAAAAATTCTTGTAATTTTTAAATCTTATACGTCTATATAATTAAATCCTTAATAGGACATTTGTATGAAATGGAAATGATTAATAACAATTAATCATAGAATTATTAACAAAGAAATTTTTAAATTTGATACATATTATTTATTTAATAAAACTATCTTGCAGCATTGGGACGAATCGTGACATCCATTGTTTTGGAACATACGCTTTTTCCACCAAGGATATTAACTATCTCACCTAATCAAGGAAACAATCTTAATACACAACCGAATTTCAATGATTTTATACCGTTCAATCAAATCTGGTCTCCGTCATTGATAGAAGAGTCACCATCACCACTACCATCACCATCACCACCACCACCACAACCGCCGCCATCATTGTCACCGCCACGACCATCACCACAACCATCACCACAACCATCACCACCATTATTCCCAATACCAAGCAAAATGTTTTCAGAAAACAAACCCTTGAATGATAACGGCGATGACAACTGTGGTCGTGTTAATATCCCAGATAACAATATTAATCCTTTAATAGCCAAAGGTTTGGAGACAACTCCAGGTCAATGGCCTTGGTTGGTCGCCATTTTTGTCGTGAAGATACAATTTGAATTTCATTGTACTGGTACTCTGGTTACGAATAAGCACATTGTTACAGGTATTACATTAATATTACAATAATAATCGCAACGATTTGTCTTTCTTAATTTTTGATAATTTTTGATCATTTCATTGAATATTAATTATCCTTGATTTGTCATCATTTGATCGAACAAATCTTAAATTGAATTGATACATTTTTAATTGTTTCTTTTAAGAGTATCCTTGAAAAGATAATTTTTCTTTCTTCTTAATAAAAACGTTCCATTTAAGAATTATCGATCCATAACGTGAAAATATAAAAATTGATCAGATCTAATTGTTTTACGATAATTCTTAATTATTTATATCATCATATATATATATATATATATATATATATACGTTACAACGTAGTTTAATATATTCTAAAAAAATTTATCCAAAATTTTTGCTATATTAAAGACAATTAATATAATTAATTCGAGGATTTAATTTTCATTAATATTGTATCTTTGATAACAGTGGCACATTGTACAAGATTAGATGACGTAATCTTACCAGCCAGTACAATGCTCGTTTCATTAGGACGTTATCGTTTACGAGATTGGAGAGAAGAAGGATCGGTTAATCGAGAAGTGAAAGAATACAAATTACATCCAGATTACAAGGGTGATATTAAAGATCCAACTGCTGATGCTGATTTAGCTGTAATAACATTGTGGGAACCAGTCGAATTTTCTGATTTTATCAAACCAATTTGTCTTTGGTCTGGATCAAATGATCTACGTGATATCGTTGGATCCAAGGGATATGTTATTGGTTGGGGTCAAGATGAATTTGGTAAATACTTGACTAATCCTCACATGGCCATTGTACCAATTGTATCTCAGGTAAGATTTATTTTTGTTTTTTCTTTTTTTCTTTTAACAAAATTATAAATTAATATTAAATTTTCTTACTATTATCTTTTATACTTTTATATTTTATTTTTAATTTTATTTTATAATATGACTGACTATTAATAGCTTAGCTGGATCTTTTTTTTTCCGTTATCCGCCTGTTATCATTATTTGTAATGTTAAAATTTTTAGCATTTTTTATTACAAATTTAGAATAGAACACACACACACATATATATATATATATGTTTGTGTAATTTAAATATTTATATATTTATTATATATTTATTTAGATAATTTTTCAAGTAAAAAATATTAAAAATTCAATAGAGAAAGGGATATCAAAATAGTGGCAGATAAATAACAAGGAAGATCCAATTAGTTTTATTTTATATCACCATATATATATATATATATGGCTAATTAATTGAATTTCAATTATTATATAGGAAGATTGTCTCTGGAGTAATGCAGGTTTTGTCGCTTTTACATCCAATCGTACTTTCTGTGCTGGTTCTAGAAATGGTATTGGACCATGTAATGGTGATAGTGGAAGTGGTTTGGTGATACGTAAAACAGATGGACGTTATCAATTACGTGGTGTTGTTTCACGCTCTATTTTAGATAGAAGTACAATGTCCTGTGACCTTAGCCATTATGTTGTTTACGTCGACGTAGCAAAACACTTAGATTGGATACGTTTGCAAATAACTTTGTGAAGTTAAATTTGATAAGACAAAAATCGAGTAAATCCAGATGATATGGGCTGGAGATTATGAAAGCAGTCTAATTCATATATTTTTCATAATATTTGTATTTGAATTATTTAATAATTATCATTTTCTATGATGACAACATATAGAAAAAATAAATATATATATTTTTATTCTTGTGAAAGATAATACTTTTAAAAATTAATTTATAAAGAAATAAATAAAAAAGTTTAAGAACAGAGCATCCTATAAAATATATTTTTTAATAACTCAAATGATTTACAATTAGAATACTTTCATAATCATTAGTTCATACGTTGTTCCTTTTAGATTTGTTACATTTTTTCAGCTACCTCTGTGATCAGTATCGCACACGCATACATACAAACACACACACACACACACACACATACATACACACTTATATGTTAATCATTAACAAATTAAAAATAACAAAATATGGTTGATTGATTTTATACAATTGACAATAATATTCAAAATAGGTATACAAGTATAAAGTATATATATATATATTTATATGACCAGAGTAGATAATTTTCACGCGTATACTTACTTCATTATGTATATAGAGTTTATTATTAACGATAGAAGGCTTATTAGTTATATCAAAGAATATTATAATAGCTTTTATATATCAGCTTACATATCCTTTATATTATTACCCTTCGTCAATACATAATTTTGTACATAGATATGTAAAAAGAATTATTTTTCTTTTGCTTAATTTATTTTAACTATATAGCATTATATTCTTCGTTAAATATTTATTAATGTAAATCATATATATTCGTGACTTAAACCAAATCATTTTCTTCCTCTTCGAAAATAATTTATTTAACTCTTTTGCAATTGTTCGCATTGTTGATGATCTTTGTTTACAGGAATAATATATTTATTTAACGAAAATACTCATTGATTTCAATTCCATAATATTTTTATCAAAATCAATTTGTCTCTCTTCTATTCGTGTTATTAAAAATAAAAATTTAATCCCGATTACGTTCAAATATAATATCTCAAAGATAATAGGACACATAGGTGAAACTTTAAATATGGGATCGATCATTATTTCCATAATTGATAGATTAAAAAGATCAAGTTTATTACAAAATATACACTTTTATAGACAGATTTATAGCGAAATAACATACGTGTAGTTATTAAGTACTTTTTTTTTTTGTTTTTTTATATATATGTGCAGAAAGAAAGACCTCACCTCTTGAAAATCATTTCTTATAATAATCTATGAATAATTTTAGTTATTAATCCTAAAATAAATTGATATACATATAAGTGATGTTATGTTTACAATATATAAAATAGATTTATAGTTTTTTTTTCTTTTTTTTTTTTTTGTTCTTTTTCTTTTTTTGTTTTTTTCATTTTTTTTTTTTTTTCCCCAATAATAGGATAAAAGGTATAAGGTATAGAGAATGGAAGTACATAAAAAATATATGCTACCATTCCTCCAAACAAAATCTATTATTATTCTAAGGGCCTATATCTATTATTATTGTTTTTAATCTTGAAGCAACAAAAGCATTTATATGTATACGTATATATACGTTTTCTATTTAATTATCATAAAAATTCAATAAAGCAAATAATTAAAAAAAAAATACATATTAAATATAATCTAAGTTAGAATATTAATTAATAATAAAGGAATGGTAACATATATATATATATATACTAAAACATGTATGAAAAAGAATGTCTTCTGTATCATAAAACTATGTTCTTTATTGTCCCATTTAAGAAGGTAAGTAAAATCCTCAATCCTCGAAGAAAATAACTCATAGATGATTTTTAATATGTCCTGGCAGAGATTAAAATGCAGTGCATTTCGAAAACCGCATAAATTTTATGCTTGATTTGTATCAACTTGGAAGTATTGTCGTGCGACTGCTCCTAAGACAATTTCTGCACTGAACACACCTAAGGATATTAAAAAAAAAAAAAAAAATAAAAATAAAAAAAAATAAAGAACAAAATATACATATATATATAAAAATAAAAAAAAAATAATAAAGTAAAGTAAAAAAAAAAAAAAAATAATAACAATAATAATAATAATAATAATAATAATAATAATAATAATAATTATTGAATTTTTTATAAATATTACTCACTGATATTAGCATGTAAAACGTCGGAAAGAAGGTGAAGATCATTTTCATGAGTTACAATTATGTAATTTAATTTGGTACTATTCATCTCTTGTATTTGTGTAAGAGGTCTTCGTGTCTTTTCCATTATTCCGCCTGCACTTTCAATTATTTCCGCAATAGCTGACGGTGATGGAATAACACTTGGTGTTACATAAAATATTTTGCCCTAAATTAAAAAATGACAATGATTATAACAAATGTCAATTAAACGTTTCCATTATTTCCTTTTTTTTTCTTTTTTCTTTTATCCTACCTTAAGTACTGTACCCCGATTAGGGCTTGCCAAAGCCTTTTCTATATTACAATTAAAATTTTTTTCAAATTCTGCATCACCTAAAAGATATCCGCTCTCATCCAAAAAAGTATTTTTTGCTGAACAATCAAGTAACCATTGTAACGTAACAATAAATTTACATCGAGAAAGGCAACACAATAGTTTCACAGTACGTATTGGTGCCGACATTACAAGATGTGTAGCATCTTGCCAACCAGCTGCAAGAGCACCTCCTAATTCACGAATTCTCTGTAAAAATTAATTACTCTAAATATTTTTCATCGAGAATCATCAATACAGATTAAATCAAATATCATTGATTATATATAAATATATATATATATATAAATACCTTGGCATGTTTTCTAGGATTAATACCAGAAAATAAAATCCTTGGTTGTTTATCTGGTGGAGGTGGATCTGGATTACTAACAACTATTGGTTCATCTAATCCTAAAAGATGTGGATCTTTATTTAATTGTGGTACATCCAAACGTGGCTTTTTAGATTTTCTTATAGAATTTGGGCCCTGTCCAACTTGCTTAACTTTGTCGTAAGATTCTTGCGTGATATTAATTGGCATTTTCCATGCAGCTATAACAAATTGAACGTATGCAATATTTCATTGATTTTAATTACATTAAAAGGAATTTTTATGTGTTTTCAATCTATTATTTAATTTACCCATAAGATGCGGGACTAATGAATAATCCAATCTAAATGGATTACTAAGACTGAATTGTTGATATTTTGGGCTATCCAATTGATGCAATGCACTTGTCTGTCCACAGAGTAAATCTGTTAACCATTGTGCATTTACTACTGCCGTTTGCCATTCGCGTGCCTTTTTATATTTTTGTCCATCTGGTCTGAAATTTTATTATAAAAAAAAAAAAAAAAAAAAAAAAAATAAATGTTGATTTATAAGCTTCCAATTATTTTAATATTTTCTATTTCATTACACTTTCAAAAATATTACCTTCTACATACGAGCAATGTATTATGTCTTGAAAAGTAACTTGTAAATTTGGCACCTAACGCTTCTAACATATATTTTACTTTTGCTCGTTCTTCTCCTTCAAATCCAGACAAAGATACAATTTGTTTTGCACATGGAAGTTCAGTTAAACTAAAGGGAGTTGGGAAATGTAGAGCATGCCATGGAGGTAATACTTGTTGTTTGTTAACAACATCGGATAGCCAATGAGCACTAACACAACGTTTTCCCTCGCGTAATGCTTGCACTACTGTTGGATGCTTTTGTGTAATTGCGAGAACGTGCGTGGCACGTGTACAATATTGCGGTTCCACCTCTCCTCCATGTCTTTCAATCACTTGTTTCCAAACTGATACTTCATTAGGACGTTGAACATCGTACTCAACGATTACGAAAATACAACCCAATAAAAATAAATCTGGTGGTACTAGAAATATATATACATATAAAAAAAAAATAGTACTTTATATAAAAAAAAATTATTGCAATATAATAAAAATATATATATGTAGCTTGGTTAACATAGTTGATAAAAAATAATATATGCTTACATTTTAAATTTGGATTATGGCCATAAAACTGAGCTTTAGGTTGTTGCATAACAGGAGCATATTGCATTTTCATAGGAGCACCTGTTGGTGCACCATTTGTTATGTTCCCTAAAGTTCTTCTTTGATATGCTGCTAATAATTGAGGATCCTGAGAAGGTGGAGGCGGTGGTCTATGCTGTGCAGTCATTAATCTTAACTGACCAGCAGCACTACCTTCTGCTGCACCACCTTGCAATCTGTTTGTTAACATGTTTGCCAATGCAGTTTTTGTTTTAGCATTTACAAGCTGCTGATCTGGAGGAATTGGGGTATTATTTGATAAAGGTGTTAATGGTGGTTCTTGCTGAGCTCCCTGCTGCTGCTGTTGTTGCTGTTGCTGCTGCTGCTGTTGTTGTTGTTGTTGTTGTTGCTGCTGCTGTTGCTGTTGTAAATGTTGCAATTGTTGTAGTCTCGCCATTTGTTGTTGTTTTTGCATATGTAATTGTGCTATTTGCTGAGGAGTTAATGTTTGATTCTGTTGAAATGCTTGTCCTGTTTGAGAAGGTGGAGCTGCTTGTACATTTTGCCCGCTCTGTACTATAACTTGATTAGAAGAATTGATAGGCGTTAAAGCAGGAGGTTGTACACCAGGATGCACAGGTTTCTGTCCTGGTGGCTGTGCAATTTGTGGTCCCATCATCTGTGGACGTGGCTGTTGAATCCATTGTAAACCACCTGGTTGACCTGGTTTTCCAGGACTTCTTATTACAGCTATATGTGGGCCTTGTTGGGCCTGACGACTTTGCATTTGTCTTTGCAATAATAAATTTCGTTGTTTCTGAATTTTTTGAATGAATTGTGCTCTTTGTTGGGGATCCATTTGTTGTAATTGCTGATGCGTTTGAGCATCTAATTGAATCAATTGTCTAGGTGGTTGCGGTGGCTGCTGAGTCCATTGTCCTCCAGGTCTTTGTGGGCCAATTTGTTGTTGTTGTTGTTGCCTTTGCAATTGCAAATGATATTGTTGCTGTTGCCATTGTGCATCTCTTTGAACTATAAAACCTTGTTGATTTGGACCTATTAATTGTTGATTCTGTGGCTGCTGCTGTAACTGACCATCTCTTATAACAAATTGCTGTGAACTTTGAGGTGCAGATTGTTGTAATTGTTGAGATATTTGATGTATTTTTTGTTGTTGCTGTTGCTGCTGTAATAAAATAAGTTGTTGTCTCTGTTCAGTTGTCAGTTGTTGTGGTGGTCCTGGTTGTTGTTGATTCAATTGATGTTGTGCACCAAGTTGTTGCTGAGAAGGTAACTGTTGTAAAACTATTTGTTGTTGTTGAGTTAATTGTACTTGTTGCGATTGTTGTTGCACAGGAATTTGTTGTGGCTGTTGAGGTAAATGTTGTTGCTGCTGTGCTTGCTGAGAAGAAAGTTGTTGTTGGTTCATTTGCTGCTGTGATAACAATTGATGCTGATTCATCTGTTTTTGCTGAGGTGTCAATAATTGCTGCTGAGGTGTAAGCTGATGTTGAGATAGCTGCGAATTTATTTGCTGTTGTTGTTGTTGAATTAACGTTTGTTGACTTAACTGCTGCTGTTGTTGGTTTACAATTTGCTGTTGTTGAGGTGGTAATTGTGGAGCCTGGGTTTGATTCAAAAGTGTCTGCTGTGTATATGTTTGCATCTGTTGTTGATGTTGGGTAAGTTGTTGTTGTTGTTGTGCCAGATGTTGTTGCTGTTGTGTTAACTGCTGTTGCTGCTGCTGTTGTATCATTTGATGTTGCATATTTATTTGTTGTTGCTGTTGTGGAGGTATATCTTGCTGTATTTGTGATGAGATCCCTTTCATTTGCGTAATATTATTTGTTTGAGAGGCTTGAGGCATCCAATTTGTTTGATTGATAATATTTTGATCTGACATGGAAGGAACATTTGGAGGTGCATTAGACAAACTTGTTGAAGCAACAGAACGTGGAAGATGTTGCTGTTGCTGTTGCAAACTAACTGCATTTTGCCCATTATTTGGATATGTTGCAGTTGTTGCAGTATGATTAGCATTGTTGTGTACTTGTAATGTATTAGAAGATACAGGTGGACTTGGTTGATTCCACGGCATACGTTGTTTCAATTGTTCTAATACCGCTTTTGTTCTGTCCTGCTCTTCTTGAGCAGCACTATTCTCTGTATCCTCATCCATGAAGCCAGTGATCATTGCTGTAGAACTATTTGGGGATGGATAAATAAGCAATCTTGGATGATATTCTATTTCACTGACAAGGGCAACCTTTTTACAACATTCAGTCACCCAGTCAGGAGTAACAATTTGAATATGATGTCTCATTGCAGCATCATATTTCAATCCAGAAGCTTTCCCAGTAATCAAATGGGTACAATATCTATCTAAACGTAACTGACATTTTCCGCCTTGTAACGTTATCGTTGCCCAAAGTATTTTACTATCTGCCCGACTTACTTGGGATATACATGCTCGTACATTGGAAAATAATTGATTTTCTTCTGGGGAAAAATAATGTGTCCTATTTACATATAACTATTAAGGGAAAAGCTTATGTAGAAAAACAATGTAAAAGGTAAGATCCTTTTTATAAAATCTTTCTATAAAAGATCAAAGGAATTTTTTTTTAAATTATTATATATAAAAGGATACGGTAAGAGTTTATTACATTTAACAGAAAATAGTATCCAATTCTGTGTAACCGCTGGAATCTCATAGAGATCTTTAGCTGCAGATATATCATTTTCAAGGGCATCATAGCCAGCTATTAAGTGTGTAACAAAATCACTGAAATAGTTGGATCTTTCTGCTCCACCTTCTTGTAATAAGTTTAAGATCTATAAGTATTTAAATGAGCCGTTCAGTTAACAGCCTGATAATGTCGACAAATGCGAATGTATAACCTCTAAAGTTATATATTACAATCTTGATTAGAATTGTAGAGTTTACATTTATACATCGTACTTATCGTTGAGCTAAATATATCGATATATAAAGATTCAATAGGTTAGTATCGATGAAACAATAATATAAATATCGAAATTGTAACATACCTTAGGATCTCCTTCGCCACTGACGTAGTACTTGACATTGGCGAACAGAGCACCGTCGAGTTTTAATTCCTCAAGACCGGCTCGTATGTCGCCCATTTTCACAAAATTTTTACAGAAAATTTTACTTTTTATATTTTACATATTGCACATAAACCATGAAACATTGGTAAAATATGACTTCGCGATATTTGATAACAATAGTTCGCCGCGACGCTTTTGTTATTATTATGATTGTAAGGTTATGTCTTATACTAAGAAGGGAAACTACATATTAATACAACACCGTGGAGCCACCGTCAAAAGGAAAGAACTTCACATTGGTAACTACGACGACGATGGATAATCACAGATCTTGTAAGGTCTTTTAACATTCGTACTTCGTATTTTTATTGCGAACGTGATAAAATTCATTTTATAATATATTAATTTTTACAATATTTAAATATATACTTTTACTTGAAATTATATTAATTTCTAATATTTCGTATTAATTATAATTTTCAATTAATTATACGATTTGAAGAATGAGAAATTCATAGGTTATTTCGTATTACTTGTCAATTTATATTATATATACTTATATACAAGATATTAAATAATTTTAAGAATATAGAATAAAATCATAAATCTGCATTTCTAATTTGTAACATACGTTCTCTAGCTGCCTTAAACTGTTCAAAAACATTTTCCACATTATTCATGAGCGTATTAACATTCTCTCTTTCAAAATATTTACTTTGAAAATTTGTATTAATTGTATTTACATTATATCGATGAACAATGTTAATATTTATTTTAACATAACCACTCGATACAACATTTAAATTTGATTTGTCTAACGTCGCACTCTCATGTACTGATGGAATTCCACAATGTGTAATATCTTCCAATTCGTAAGTACCACCTGTAAAAAATCGACGAAGGGAATCAACAATATTCCCTGCTGGCCTCCAAGTGGGTATAGATAATTCATGTGTGCCTGGCGATAACGATATAGGTACCACTCCATATCCTTCTATACGATATCTATATAAAAAAACAATTCAACATGTGATTTATATAACTTAGATTCTTTAGAAAAGCATATAATGATATTAAAGATAATATATATATATATATATATATATATACATATATATTTTAATAGCAAATATATACCTGGTCCAGCTATCAAGAGATGCTACAGATATTAATAAAGATGGCCATTTTGTAATGGTATCATTTTTAGTTAATACATTTAAATGTAAATCCAATAATATATCCATGATATAATCAAAGTATGCAGTTTTATCTTTTAAATAAGATTTTTGTGTTCTACCAATTAATCGTTCTTTTTCCTTAGTATTCCAATCTTTTGGCAGTACGATATAATAAGTTATAAATAAACCATTGTAAGAAAAATTGTGTGCAGAAACAATGTTTATGTTTAAAAAAATTTGTAATATGTTTGGAACCGTTACTTCTATTTCATTAGGTATCTCTGCAGTTTTGTACAGCAAAAGTTTTTGTATTTCCTAAAAAAAAAATAAAAAAAAAAAAAAGAAAGAAACAAATTCTCTTGTAAAAAGATATAAAATATAATATATTTTTATTACATTCATTAATTATATAAAAGAGTAATCATTATAAATAAGATTACCTAAAGACAATACATTTTCTACCAAGCATGAGTCAAGTAGTTGTAATAATGTGTGAGTAATGATGTCAGTTTAGAAGGATATAAACAGTAAAGTGTGTGTTATACCCCTTCTCCAACATATATATATACATACATATATATATATATACATACATATATATACATATATATATATATATCTGATCCAGCACTAGGAACATTTACATTAGTGAAAGAAAGTGTTGGAGGAAACATTCAGAGAAATATCAAAGTCAGTCAAACGTAGACCATCTACTGGTTAACATGGTTGATCATCAAAGTAGATCTTATCTATAATAAACTTTTACATTGCTTTTATAAACTCTGGAACATGAAGACTTTAATGAAGGAATCTAAGTTTTTTAAATACTCAATAAAAAAGTATAAGCAAAGAAATGAAATAAATTTTGTGAATTAGTTAAAGAATCAGTGAAAAAATGTATACATTTCTTTGTGGAAACTGTGTTATAAGAATATAAAACTTCATTATTATACTGTGGAAAACTGAAATATTAAAAAGAAATTGTTATAATAGATAAATAAAAGATGTTTTATCCGCAAAGAATGATAAGACAAATATCAGAAATTTCCTATGTGGGGTATGTACTATTTTAAAATTAAATCATACATACTTGTCGTAATTCTTCCTGTTGTTGTTCCAAATCCGATGTAGTTTGTATTTCAGAAATATGTTCAAGCCAATAATCATATCTAATACCATTATCAGTTGTAAGCGTGTAAGATTCATCAGTAGTAAAATCAGGATACATAGTAAGAATATTATGTGTTTTATCATAAGTTATTTTGCATAAAAGAATTTCCATATCAATGTCAGACGAATGAAACAAATCTTTTTTATCCTTTCTACTTAAATCTATCATTATATACATTGTACTACGTTCCATATAAAAATAATGATTGGAACGTATTCTTTTATTATTGATTCTATCATCGATCACATTTTTATTATATCTAAGTGTAAACGGTTTACGATTTAGTATTGCCGGTAATGCTAATTGATTTTTAAATGACAAATATGATTGATAAGGCTTCGTAAGCAGATTTTCATTGGGATAATACGTATCAGTTTCTGTATAATTATATAAACGCGAGCCTTGCAAATTTTTTTCCTTGATGAGTTCATGATATTCATTTTGTAACTCGTTAACGCAATTCTTTTCGTCGTTGTAAAATTCAATTTCGAAGGGACTGAAGATCTTCTCTTGCCATCTAAAAATACGTTCGTCTTCTTCCAAATAATTCGAATCTCTTGTATCGTTCGCGGTATCGAACAAGTCGGCCAGCAAAGATTTCTGTTGGGCGACTCTAACTCTGAAACAATAAACGTTTCCATCGAAATAAATGCGATCTGGAGTATAAGAAACGATTTCTCTTTTCATGCCAGATGGCCCTCCTTGTTTTGCTCCTCGTGGCCTGTGTTTCATCTTATATTTCTTGGCCAATTCAATTTTAATCAAATCAAACCAAAATTTTTGCTTGCAAAAGTTAAAAGAGAAATATTACGTTTTATTTTATTTTTTTTTTTTTTTTTGGGTTTACATACGTTAACGAAAGTTATTCCAAGTATTTCATTATCCAAAAACATTTCATTTGATATCATTTTATCAATGAGCACGAAGTTGATAATTAATAAATTATATATATATATATGTGTGTGTGTATATAATTTTTTTATTTTTTTTATTTTTTTTTATTTAGAAAATGAGAGAACATTTAATCGGTCGTGAGAGAATTATACGCATGTATTCGTTTAATTGTCTAGACATCGTAGGATATCCGTGACAGGATCCTTTCAAATTTCAAGGCAAACAGGGAATGTTCTATCGCGACGTAAAGACCTAACGTAATAAATTCTTATTATGAGAATTGTTAATAATTCGTGACAAAACAAGAATTAACGAACGTATATATATATATGTGTATATATGTATATATGTATATGTATATACAAATGCATTGGTTGATCAATAAATAGAAATGAGAATATTATATTCTTACTGTACGAATACTTAATTTATAATAAATATCCAATTATATAGAAATAAATATATATAAATTATAAATATATAATTCAAAAATAATATATATATATATATATAAAAACAATAATAATTCTTATAGAAAATTAGGAAATTATTTATTGGCTAATTAATTATTATATTATTAGATTCAATCTAATAAAGTATTAAAAATATACTATAATACATTACAGTATTATTTATATCAATATAAAATACTGAAAATTTTAATATAATTTATTGACTAATCCAATACATGTATGTGTGTATGTGTGTATGTGTGTATATATAAAAAAAATGTACCTTATTTTAAAGTTACATATAGGTTGCTTAACTCGATAACTCGCTGCAATCTTTCTTCTACCTTGAATATCCACCATCTTAATTTTTCTAATATGTTTGAGAAAAAAAGAAGAAAAAAGAAAAAAAAATTCGAACTATTTTTTATTGGCGTCTGTGCACTAGTAGGAAAAACAGTATAGTCGTAAACAAGAGAATAGCAAAGGTATCCTAATCGTTGCTTAGCAACGTTACAATCAAAATAAGAGATCTGTGTGATTCATTCGACGAATCGAATTTGTTGTTTCATATTTTCTCATTGCAATGAAACATTATAAATATATTTTAAAAGAAAATTTTCAACGACTTTTGATTTTAATCATTATCTTATTGTCCAACAATTATGAACTTTTTTTTTTTTTTTTTTTTTTTTTTAATATACAACTCAGAGAGAATAAGAATATTCAAAAGGCACTGAATATATTAAGAATTATTTTGCATCTAAAATATCCTATAAAAAGAAAAAGACTGAAAGAGAGAGAGAGACAGATAGTCAAATTCTTTACTTTATTAAAATAATATTTTAATTATAAAACAGACCATTTTTTGTTCCTTTTAAATGATACTTTATCATATAAATACAATGATCTGCAAGGTAATTTCACTATTACACAATAGTATAACGCTAAGAATAAATCAATACGATATAAAAAAAAGAATGTGAATTAAAAATAGCCATTAAATGTTGCTATGATTGTTATGCCAGAAGTATACTGGTCAAAAGAAAAAAAACAAAAAGAAAAAAAAAAGACAATTAAAGATAGCAATTCATTGTCACCTTTAACACGGCACTTAATTTCTAGAATTATAAATGCTATGAAGTGCACTAATAAAAAAAATCAATTTCAAATTAAATCAAATCAAGCCAGTATGTTATTATGAAAGTGATTCAAGTTATTTAAGATATTAAAAGACATATTTTGTTGTGCTTTTTATTTTATTGTAATTAAAATTTTCAAATCATATGAAAGATTTATTTTTTGTCAATAATAAATATATTCATTTTCTTCATAATTTTTTATCATAGAAAAAACATAATTTGTTATCATAGAAAAAAAGAGATATCTAAATGTCAAAATATTTCCAAAATAATAATTATAAGACTTGGATCACTTTCATAATTACTAATTGTATATGATATGATATAAAAATATAATATATAAAAAATTTTATACCTTTTATATAAGTTATTTTTAATTTTTCTTTATGTTTATTTATTTATTTATTATATTATTTTTCTTTTCATTAGTCCTGCGTACACTGATGCATTCTAATCTCTCCTATTAGTCTCCTGCAGGGATTGCAATATTGCAATTTGTGAAGATTTTATGTAAATATAATTCATATATACTTTATTATACCATATATATATATATATATATATATATATATATGTATTATATTATATAGCACTATATATACATAAACATCTAATATAATTTATATTACACTTACTATATTTACAATAAAATAAATAAATTAAAATTCAGATTCGAATGTCACGATTTTCAATTAAAAAAAAAAAAAAAAAAACAGTGAGAGAGAGAGAGAGAGAGACAGAGAGAGAATGAAATCGTTCAAGCGAAAAAGATGAAAGTGTAAACAATCATAGTATTGCTAGTCATAGTTCCGGCTTTGATGAGTAATGAGTTTATCCCACGTTCATTTCTGTTTTCTTTTTCTTTTTTTATCGACAATGTAACATACTTTCACCAAAATTTTTATATTTATCTATTCCTATATTCATACATAATTAAAATCTCTATTTTGTTCTCAATTTATATACATATATATATATATATATATATCATAACAGATCTATATATATTACAGATCAAAATATGATAGATTTATATATATTACAGATCAAAACATGATAGATCTACATATATATCACATATACGTGCGCGCGCGCACATACACAACGCACACACACACATACACATATTTTTTTTTTATTTTTTTTTATTTTTTTTTATTTTTATTTATTTTTTTTTTTTATGTATTTTCATAACGAAAGAATTTTCTCGGTTTATGTCAAGAAGAAAAGAATAAGAATAAGAATAAGAAGAAGTGAATCGACGTAAAACCGGTTTAAAACCGATTGCATTCCTCGCCAAAGACCTGTCCGTTCTGTCCCGTTGGCTTTCTACGTGTTCTACGAGAGATAATCTCAAAGTAGTCCTCGCGAATTTAACGAAATTAAATTAATGTCTTAATCGCGAAACCCTTTTCTTTTTTCCTTTTTTTTCTTTCCTTTTCTTTTCTTTTCTTTTTTTCTTTTTTCTTTTTTTTTTTCCTTTATTTATTTCATTTTTCTTTCTTTCTTTTGTTTTTTTTTCTTTTTTTTTTTTTTTTTTTTAAATTCTTCGCACCTTTATCGATATCACCGAAGACGTTTATATGAGATATAAAATTGTCGAGATGAAAAAGGAGTATCTCGATAAAACGCGAGAAAAAAAAAAGTGATATATTTATTTATAAACGATAATAGTGATATGATATATATATATATATATGTATATATATATATATATATAAATATGATGCCGGGTTTTTTATCTTTCTTTTTTTTTTTTTGTTTCTTTTCTAACTATCATCGTTATTTACTCCCTCTAAACTAGAAAGCGCGGACTAAAATAAATCGTGAGTTTACCTATCTAACGATATTATATACACCTATGCTTCAAACAATCTTCCTGTGTTTATATTAATTGAAAATAAGCATGCTTCTTTTTTTCTTTTTTTATATATATACACATATATATATATATGAATACACACACACACACACACACACACAAAGTACATGTTACGTAATGTTTAACAGTTATAGAGTCTCAACTTCTTGACCTCTATCTATGAAATACGAAATGATGGGAGTTATTGTTAGGCACACCTGGCGAAGGCCAAGTCGAATAATAGTCGTCCACTCTGTGACACATAGTAAGGAGAATCGATGCAGTTGTTATTATTGTTGTTGTTGTGTTGTTGTTGTTGTTGTAGCACTGGCGATAGTAACAGTAAAAGAAGCATTAGTAATAGTAGCATTCGACGTTACAAGTTAAAAGTTTTTTATTTGATTTGATCGTAAAAAAAAAACAAAACAAAAAAAAACAAAAAAAAAAAAAGAAAAGAGAAAAAGGAAAAAGAAAAAAAAAAGAAAAAGAAAAAGAATTTTCTCTCGAATGGGAATATCTCTCTTTTTCTTTCTTTTTTTTTTTTCTTTTTCTTCCTTTCTTTTTTGTATTTCGAATATTAAAAAAGTAATTTTACAATTAGTGAAAGATGAATGAATGAAACTTATTTGAACATTTTGTTTCATCCGTACAACACAGACAGGGGTCAGTGACACAACTGTAAAGGTAATTATTTTATTCTTCATGGATTCTTAAACGCGTTCACGGGATCGTGGTTTTTTGATGAAATCATATTGTCACATTTACTCTCGTCGTTTATGTTGTCATTGTCATCGTCGTCGTCGTCGTCGTCGTCGTTGTCTTTGTGGTCATCGTCGTCATCATACTTGTTCTGTGTACTCATAACACATTTCTCTATGAAAGCGATAAGAGATAGATTAGAAATATACAATATTACTTTGTGTGATATCATAGCTATCTATCGTTTGAGTTTACTCTGACATCGATGAGTCGTATCTGAAGAACATTCACTCACCTGAGCTCATACAAATCTAGAGGTATCTGTTTTTTCTTTTTCTTTTTCTTTTAATTTAAATTTTTCTCAAAATAAGGAATTGTTCATCAATTTTGTCTTCTCTTCTTTTCTCCTTTTTTTTTTTTTTTTTTTTTTTTTTTTCCTTGCTTTTTTCCTTCTATTAATTTTCCTCATCGATGATTCAAAGCTAAATGAATTTGTCGAATCACTTTTCATGGGATATTCATTTAATTGTAATAGAGATTGGTTACACTGGTGATTAATTTTGGTAAAGAGCAATGACTTTACTCTTTAGATTATTATTTGAGCTTACGTTGAATCAATTTTATAAAATAATTTTGTTACTTGAGTAGTATTATATATTAAGTTTTTCTTTCTCCTTTTTCTTTTTATATTTATTTATTTTATTTGTTTGTTTGTTTATTTGTTATTTGTTATTCTTTTTTTCTTTTGTTTCCTTTTCTATTTGTTTTAGAAGTTTCAAACTGATCAGGATGACGACTAATCAAGAAGGAGAGACTGGAATAACTATTCCTTTACAATATAATGATACTGTAAGAACTTATGCATGCTAGTTAGAATATTTCTATTAATTGTTTTTATATATCTGTGGATTGAATCTTTTTAGCATTGGAAATCTATTTTTGAAAAATATGACCTAGATGAAGATGGAAAAATCTCTTATCAAGAATTGAAGGCTATGATACGAGCTTCTGCATATTCCAATGATATTCCTGCTAATGTTGTTCGTATAATAATGCGTAAAGCTGATTTAGATGATTCTGGATATTTAGAATATCCAGAATTTATAGCTATGGTATGTTTTTATTAATTAGAAATATAATCCTATTAGATAGAATATCATTATAGAACTTTATTTTTAGATACATAGGAAAGATATGCAAGGAGTATTTGGTCATCTTGTACAACGTTATGTACATTCAATGGTGCCTCAAAGACCAATCGCTGTACAATATTCTACTCAAACTTCTAGTGATATCCCTGATGGTCAATACGAAGAAGAATATAGTTGTAGACCACCTGCTGTGGCAATGATAATCATATCGATATTAGAGATTATTTTATTTTTATACGATGTAGTTGAACATAAGTCTCTTTCCATGGATGGACCAGCAGCAACATTATTTATTTATGATCCTCACAAAAGATACCAAGCATGGAGGTACTTGACATATATGTTTGTTCATATCGGGTAAGTTTATTATTAATGTTGATCGATTAATTTTCCTATTTATAAAAGAGATTTTAAAAAGAGATCATTATTTTATCATACAGAGTTCTACATTTGGTCGTTAACTTATTGGTGCAAATTATGCTAGGCATACCTTTGGAAATGGTTCATAAATGGTGGAGAGTATTAATTATATACATAGCAGGTGTAATAGCTGGATCTCTTGGAACTTCGGTTTCAGATCCTACTGTTTATTTAGCAGGAGCATCCGGTGGTGTGTATGCATTAATTACTGCACATGTAGCAACGATACTGATGAATTGGTCAGAAATGGAATTCGCTGTTCTTCAATTATTAGTGTTCCTACTTGTAACTACAGTTGACGTAGGTCAAGCAATATATAGTCGTTACGTTGTAGTAGAATCCAACAATCAGATTGGTTATGTAGCTCATTTGGCTGGAGCTGTAGCTGGACTTCTTGTTGGTATAAATGTCCTTCGTAATCTGGAAGTAAAAACTTGGGAAAAAGTCGTTTGGTGGGCCAGTATTGTTACATACACAGTACTTATGACGGCAGCTATTTTGTGGAATATTTTATATCCCTCTTATTATGAAAAATTATAAAAATAGAATAATGCCTTTTATATATATATATATATATATATATATATATATATATAAATATGTATATGTATATATAAACGACTATTGTAATATCTCAATTAAAATTGTTCAAAAAATGTGACTAATCAAGAATCAGTACAAAGTGCATATATTGCGTAGGGGAAAAAGAAAAAAAAAAAAGAAAAAAAAATTCCTTTTTATACGGAATTTTATGCGAAAAATATTTTATAATAAAACTATTATAAATTGTTCAAGTTTGAAGTTGATCGATTACGACATGTTAGAGAAGCACAAACATATTTATGAACAAAATTAATTTGCTTTAATGACTTCCTGTATTATGGATATATATATATATATATATATATATATATATATATATATATATATATATATATATAAAATATCATTTAAGATAAACACACACAATTACAAGATCTACTGTGATATACAATGTTATTATGATGAGCATTGTGAAACAAGTAATCACTTACTATCATTACAAATTTCTAATTGCGTTTCCTGTGGTAAAGTTAATGTATTATTTATCTCTCTACAATCAATTTTGCGTATTGCACATGTGAGAGCGCTACCTCTTCTGTTTATATATCGCTTGTACAAGCATATTATTACTCTTGAATTTTTACACACACAAAAATACATTTTGTGTAACAAACTGTTATAAAAAAGTAAATTATTAATTTGATCTATTATATCATATGAACATATGAAAAACAATTATATATAGAATAAGAGGAGCAGTATTATTTCTTTTCATTTTTTTTTTTTCTTTCTTTTTATAATCCATGTTTTGTTGATTTATATGCAACTGAATTAATTTAGTTTAACAAAACATGATAATACACATATAATATGTATATAAATACATATATATATATATATATATATATGTATATATATGCATTTATCTCTATAATTTAATTATATTATCAATAAGAATATTTTGCTTAAATTTTTTAATTTTACTATACTTTAAAGAAATAAGTAATTCCCTATACCTTTTTCTGAGTTATATATAATAGTTGTATGTAGCTAGACATTTCAAAATTATATATATATATTTTTTATTTCATTGGCTTCTGATTTGTTTGTTACCTGATGTACCTGAATTAAAAAAAAAATTTTTCTTTTATTACGCACATGTAACAGATGAGAATTCTTTTTTTTTTATAAATAATAATAATAATAATAATAATAATAATAATAATAATAATAATAATAATAATAATAATAATAATAATACATATATACGTAATTAAGTAATAATAATAATTTTAATTACTAGTATTATATATATATATATTGACATGGTAATATCTACACCTGAACCAAAAATAAAAAAGTCATAATTAAGTTATAGCTTATATATCAGGATAATTACACTTTTCATTGTCGCACAGAAACAAAAAGAAAAAACAAATGAAAGAATAATTTTTATCATATAAACAACATTATTGTTCTATCAATTATTTTCATATAATTTTTTCTACTCAAATTAATACTATGGACTAGAAGTATTTTGTGCCTTATTTAAAATGAAAAAATAAAAAAATAAGAAATTACATATATACATATGTACATACATATATATGTGTGTGTGTGTATATATATATATATATATATATGTATATATATATATATATATATATATATATATATATATATTTATCCTATGCAATGCAATGTAGACGTGTAATTTTTTTGTAAAAATATACAATTTAAGAAAGAAAATTAGACTTTTGTAATTCGTTCAGAAAAATGTTATCTTAAAAACTTTGACATTAAAACATGAATTTTTTTATAATAATATTATATTTTTTACTGTACAACTATAACAGCAAGAAATGCAATTACGCACACTTATGTCTGAAATAAATAATTATACAGTATTTAATAACTAATTATATAGTATGTTATGTTCTGCATTTATTTATGTGTATATTTGTGATACGCATTTGTTTATATAAAATATAATAATTGAAAATACGCGAAATTACTATATACAAATTGTTTTAATATTAAACCGATAAATAGAACGATCATAAAATCAAGTCTTATCGAAGAAAATTTAAATCTTATGCTTTTAAATTTTAATTTATATCAAACGTATTATTTATTATTTAGAGAGTATGAATATCAATTATTATTTTCGAACTGAAATTTCTCGGAGTTTTAAATTTCGCGCGTAATTTGTCGTAATGTAAATTTTGAATATTCGCGCGTAAAATTATTGAAACTAATCGCATTATATATACATATACGTGTGTATACATATATATATATATATATATATATATATATATATATATATATGTACACACGTATAAATTCTATTAAAACATGGATGATCGAAAATTAAAGGCCAATAAGGTTATGTTCATCGTTATAACGGAGGTGATTTTTATTTCAACAAAAATAACAATTTACATTGAACTATTTTGATAATAATAGTATTATCGTGTATGCTACACGTGGTTTTATTTTTATTTTTATTTTTATTTTTATTTTTATTTTTATTTTACTGTAGGCGTGGTATGCTTTCTCGCTCGCTATTAATTGTATAATCTGTTATTTTATTTATTTATTTATTTATTTATTATTTTTTTTTTCTTCGTGTATTATCCTTATCATTTTAATAATTCGCATTTAATAGCGTTGTCATAGATAATAGTCACAATTGATTTCTTTTTCTTCCTCATGTATTATTGTTTCTTGTTGTAGTTGTTGTTATTGTTGTAGTTGTTTTTGTTGTTGTTGTTGTTGTTGTAATAGTAATAGTAGTAGTAATTAGTAGTATTAATGGATAGTAGTATTTTTCATTCTTTTAGAAACTTCGTAGACTTTATGCGATCTTTAGCTTCGTACTCAACTTCCACATTCATTTTATTTCTATGGTTTTTACTTTTTTATTCGTTTACTTTTTTTTATTTTTTAATTTTTATTTATTTTTAATTTTCATTAATTATGATACAAGTAGTCAGGAGGGAACTGAGATTTGAGTGCCTCGACTTTTAACTTCTTCTTTTTCTTCTTCATCTTCTTCTTTTTCTTTTTATGTATATGTAATGTTTTATGTTATATATATGTATGTATATATGGTATATACAATAAGGATTTTCTTCCTTTTTAATTTAACATAGATGATCTCAAAATGACGATGAAGATGAAAATGACGATGACGACGATAACGACGACGACAATGATGATGATGATGATGATGATGATGATGATGCTGATGATGATGATGATAGACAACAGAGGAGAGGACATCGACCGATTGATGTCGTATCTTCTTTTTCTTCATCTTCTTTTTTTCTCTTTTTTATTTCTTTCTCGAAAGAGTAGGTACATCCTTTTTTTTTTTTTCTTTTATCTCACCA